AATATTATAATAGTTAAATATTGTGAATAAAGTAAAATTGGTGATAATGTAGAGATAGTACTTGAGATGAATTACTATTTTATCTTTAAAGTAAATATAAAAATATTATAGAGTAAAGGTGAAGGTTGGAGATGACCCTCAACTGTCAGTTTTGGGTGAATATGACAAAACACCAGTAGCTAAATTTGCAAAAAAATCCCTCCTATTTTTGTTGTCTTTTCTGATGGACGTTGGATGCCCTACTGTTATACATTGTATGGTTTTCGTTTGTATTTTATAACATTTAATTTGAAGAATTTATTTTTATATCCGTATGAGTATTTCAATTTAATTTTTTTTACAAATATCTCATATATAAATTCTAATTTAAATTACAATTTAGACGACTTTCTGAATTCAATTTAAATTATGAAACATTAATGTATTTTCTTAGTCTCATACCTTGTAATTTAATAAATTTATTTTAAATTATATGGAATCATAGAATTAATATATTTACGTGTAGGTATTTAAATTATTATTTTAAAAAAATGATTTTATATAAAGTATTAATAATAAGTTATAATTAATATATTTAAAATTTAATTTAATTAAATCATCAGCAAACTGAATGTGGAATGCGCCTACACTACTTGACCCAATGTGCACCCCTTCACACAAGCCTAGATCAACCGCTTTCTTAAACAAACCACTAAGAGCCTCACCCACAACATTAAACAAAAACGACGACAGTGGACAACCTTGCCTCAAGCCCCTTTTAATTGAGAAATATTTCGACGGACACCCATTAACCAATACAACAATATTAGGCGTCGATATACACAAATTAATCCAACTCCTCCATCTCCTGCCAAAAACCATTTTCTTCAAAATCAAATTCAAAAAGACCCAGACTAGAGTGTCATAAGCCTTGCTGAAATCTGCTTTAACCATCACTGCCTTACTCTCTCTTTTTTCAGCTCATCGACAATCTCATTCGCTATCAATGAACAATCTAAAATTTGTTTCCCGGCCATGAAGGCGAACTGGTTCTCGCCAATTGAATATGAAGAAGACGAAATTATTTGGTATTAATGTCGAGGACAACAGAGTTAAAGGGTGGGCAGATTCATTGTTTTGCGAATGGGCTAGGCTGCCGACGACGTACTTGGGGCTGCCTTTAGGTTATAAAATAAACCAGAAGTTGTTGTGGCAACCAATATTGGAGAAAGTTAGAATTCGATTACAAAGCTGGAAAGGTAAGTTTCTATCTTTCGGGGGAAGGATTACATTGATTAAATCAGTGTTGGCCAACTTACCGGTGTATTATATGTCTCTGTTTTCAATGCCCAAGTCAATAGCAGAGTCATTAAATAAAAGTATAGCGAGTTTTCTGTGGAATGTTAAATCGAATAGAGGTATTCATTGGATTAAGTGGGATATGGTTAGTGCACCGAAATCTCATGGTGGTCTTGGTTTTTTTGACGTTAGTGTCAGAAATCGAGCATTGTTGAATAAATGGATTTGACGTTTTAGTGAGGATAGCCAAAGCCTTTGGAAAAAGATTATTGTCGCTAAGTATAATTACGATTCTCAAGCAATGCTACCTTATGGTATTAGCATGCGTAGATTGAATGGTCTATGGTACGACGTAGTGCGCCAGGTGTCGTCGACCAAGGGTAATTTCCTTACCGATGTCAGGTGTGTTATGGGGAACAGTTCACGAATTGATTTCTGGCTAGACCATTGGTTCGAGGTTCGTTCGCTAAAAATAGCCTTCCCAAGAATCTATGGGATGGCTATTAATAAACAGGGGAAAAATAGTGAGTTTGGGAGTTGGGTGAATGGTGTTTGGATTTGGAGGATTGAGTTGAGGCGTAGGCTTTTCTCTTGGGAGATCTCGATTTGGAATCAGTTTAATCAAGTAATCAACAGAGGTGTTTCTGCTATACCTGGGTGCGATAGATTGTTGTGGTTAGGTGCTTCTAATGATTTATATAATTCTAAAGATTTCTGCATCAAGTTGGCTTCGACTGGTAAGATTCAAGACCCTACATGGAGTAAAGTTTGGAATAAATTAGTTCCTCCTAAAGTGGTTGCTTTTGTCTGGAAAGCGGTTCATAACAGGCTGCCAGTTGCGTCCGAATTGATTAAGAGAGGGGTTAGCGGCAGTGTCCAGCCTTATTGTATTTTTTGTAAAGTTAACCCGGAAGATGTGAACCATGCGACATGTCATTGTTTTGTCGTTTGGAAAGTGTGGCAAAAGTGGTGTAAATTATGGAAAGTTTCGATCATAATTCCCATGAACATTAAACAACTATTAGAGATTTGGTCGGCACAACATATTAGAAGGAGAGTGAGGCATCTATGGTATATCGGCTTCTTCGGACTGATTTGGTAGATTTGGTTGTGCAGAAATAAGTCCTTATTTCAGGGGGAGACTTTCTCTGTCGATCGGATTTTCAATATGGCCTTATTGCAGGTTGGTTTCTGGGCTAATATTTTATGGCCGTCTTTGGTTCCTCATGCCATAGAATTTGTGCGAACTCCGGATTCAATTAATTTTAACTAAGTTAATTGACTTTCCCTGTGATGGCTCCTGAATTCGGCTCTTTACTGCCTGTTTTGTTCGTTTGCTTATTGTTACATTTGGTTCCTATTTGGATTTTCATTTGGTCCACAAGCAGTGTTGGGTGTTTCCTTCTTTCAGTGTCGAGCATCTTCATGTTGGAATCTCCATCTTATGCATGCCTTGGTTCTAAGGCTTGTCGATTGGGGTCACCTAGTATGATTGCAGATTTAGAGTGTTTTCATTCCAGGTTGTGTAGTTTTCTGGTGATTGGGCTTCTTGTCAATCCTTCTTCACTGTCTTGGTTCAGGATAGTGCTTGGCATCGTATATTTCAAGGTAATGCTGCTGTTTGGTTGTGGTTCGGTTGTGGTCTTAGTCTTAGCACTTGTGGTTTGTTTGTATGTGTCTTCCTCCATTCCCAGTTATCTTTTGTTATTTGGTTGTATATGTTCGTCTTTTGTGCATTGGTCTGGGAACTTAGTAGGAAGGAGATTGGTTTGTATATAGTTCGAATATCATGTGTACATCCCTTACCATCTCAAGGTTTACTCTTTTTCCTCCAATTAAGATTAGAGAGGTTTTTTAATGAGGCCTTGAGGTGGTGTACTTTATTTTGCTAATAATACAAAGTACCCTATTTCAAAAAAAAAATTTAATTTAATTTAACATATTTTAAATTTTATAACATTCTATCTAAAGTGGACCTTTTCAAAAAAAAATTATACTTTTCAGAAGAAAAAATTATTTTTTACATCAATATTAAATATTAAAATCTTATGTCAATTTTTTAAAGTTACTTTCTAATAACACTTTTCAAAAATAATAACAATCAAATTTTAACTTGTTTAAACATCAAAATCCTTATCATGGCTATGCTGTAAATTAGGTGAGACAAACCACAATTTATTTGTCCTTATCATGGCTATGGATATAAATTAGATGAGACAAACAACAATTTATTTAAGTTTGATTATGTCAAAATTCGATCAACACTCAATTCGAATGGACTTATTTCGAATTTGAACTCAATTCGAGATCTTAAAAAGTCGAAACGAGTTACTTCATATCTGACTCAAAAAACTCACGAATAACTCAAAAGAATATATATTAAAATTTTAATTTTCTAAATTAGATTATTAATAATATTAATATTTATATATTATTTTTTTAAATACAGTATAAGGTTTATGTTTAAGTTTAAGTTTGAGCTCGAACTAAATTAAGTATGAGAATATTTCGAGCTCGAGTTGAGCTTCAATTTTTTTAAAATTCGAGTCAAATTTAATAATTTTAAACTCGGAGCTTTCAAATTGATTCAAACTTAGCTTTGAGCTTTTCGAATTGATTGAAGTTTAATAATACTCAAACTTGGTTTGTCTCATTTACCACTGTCCTAATCATAACACATATTAGTTGTTACACAAATAACAAATCTAAAAATATTTTTTAGAATAGACACGTATATTAGTAACACAAATTTTTTGAATGAAATAAAGACAAATAAAGTTTTAAGATGAAAATAATCATTAAAATAAATAATTAATTAATTAAAAATAAAATATCTCTTCAAGTATACGTGGATCCGCCACTGGTTATCTATAATAAATAACGTCTAAAAGCAGTCCGTTTTGGGTCTTTGAATCTTGTTGGTCCAGCGATGAAATCCCGCAACTCCATTCAGTAATAGCACTAAAATATTTCATTGGTCAAAAGAAATTTTGAATTTTCTTATTGACATTTGTTAAAAAAATTGAGTAAACTACAAGTTTAGTATGTAATTATCAATTATAGTTCGTTTAGTACCTAAACTTTTGTTTTTTTAAATCATACCTGACATTTAATTTTTGTTTCATTTTAGTATTTCATTGTTAAAAACTTAACGCATGGGCTCATTGATCGCCGAGTTTATAACATCTGACTGTTATATTCGTCGGTCGATGAAGCCCAAACTTTTCAATATGCACATTTTTTTATTCCCTAAACACGATTTTAGCATCTGTTTCATCGGAAAACGCCTCGATCTCCCCAAATCGACAATGGCCCCTTCGATTTCTTCATCCTCTTATCTCCATGGTCCACCGTCCAATGAGCTTGAAACTAGACTATGTTGGTCGACTCGTTATTCTCTTGTGGTTCACCGTTTCGATTGACTTTTCGTTGACCAGAGCAATGACGTGTCAACCTATCGTTAAGTTTTTAACGGCGGGGTATTGAAATGAAACAAAAAAAAATAAACGTTAGGTATGATTTTGAAAAAAATGAAAGTTAAGGTACTAAAATAGATGAAAATTGATAGTTTATGTACTAAACATGTAGTTTATCCAAAAAATTCTCTCTTTTTTTTGGATAATTCAATTCTATTACCCAAAGAGAGAGGACTGCTACAAAAAACAATCAAAGTTCAGATTTACAAAGATCGCCCTTAACCAAAAAATGGCAACCAAACAAAATCAAACTATACCCCATTTGTTACATAGAATTATATTAACATTATCTATTCTATTAATAGGCCTATCCATTAGGTGAAGTCCAACTATTTCCTTGATAGCATAGAACATCTCTTCAACAGTTGAAGAACGACCTTGGAAGAGCCTCTTGTTTCTTTCTTGCCAAATGGTGTAGATTAAGGCATTTGAAGCAATTTTTATAATAGAAGTGAGTAAAGATTTACCCTTCCAAGAAGCAGCAACCCAAGCAAAAAGGGCATCCCAAGATGGGTGCCTAAACCGTAACCCATTGAGGAGGTAAACACCTGACCATAATGAAGCAGCAACAGAACAATCGAAGAATAAGTGATTTCTGGTTTCCAGAACAGCACCACAGAAGATGCAGTGGCAGTCAATAATAATCCCCATACGGTTAAGCCTTTCTTTTGTAGCGAGTCTGTCAAGGAATACCATCCAAGCAATAAGACTATGTTTTGGGATGAGAAGAGGAAACCAAAGCAGTGAATGCCAATGAACTTTAGGATTCTTTACCCTAATCTCATTCCAGATATTACTAACTTTCTTTGTTTCATAAGACAAAATAGAGAAGGCTTCGGTCCTTAACTTCAGGATCTGTTTTAAGCTTCAGCTCATGTTAGGTTTGACAGCAACAGACTAGAAATCATTAACAATAGTTGTTTGTTGTTTTCTACTATTAAAAAATAGTTGTTTTATATTAATTTACCCAAAATGGGAATTGAAGATAAAACAAGGGGCCAAAACCATAAATTTCCGTTATTACACAACGAATGGCTTTTTGACAGTTTTGACTCATGGATTGTACGGAAAAACCAACTCACCGCCAATACAAAACAATGCCATGTTTTATAACGTGCTGTGAAAACGTTGATCACATGTAAGGTTGGTTACAAAAAAACCCAGACTGTGAAAGATTCCACCTTCAATTTCGCTGCTTTTCAAAAACCCAGAACTCTGAAAGAAGCCACCTTCATTTTCGCTGATCCCCTCTTTCTTTTTTGGTTCTTTTATTTCCAGCCATCATTCAAATCCCACCCTTAACCCCCCAAACTTCCCTTCTTATAATTTTGATTTGAAAGCTTTCTCTCAATCAATCGCCATTCTCCATGCCTAAGAGGTGATTATATAATATTTCCTTTTTAATCTGTTGATTATCATGTGTTTATCCTTTGGTTTTTCCAACTTTCATGTTTATCTGTTGGGACAACATAGCCAAATGAATTGTTGGATTTTTCTCAGCTTTCCTTGTATGAATGAAGCCCCAAAATTAACTGTTTGATTAGCGAGCTTCATTCGCATTTGAGTTTCAATTACCCTGATTTCCTCGATTCCATTATTTCGTGGATGATGTCTGGATCAATCTGGATGTGGGCTGCAGCTTTTGTAACCTTTTTAATTTTTGTTATGATTCCAGAGTTCTTTGCAAGTTCTTTGCTCATGGAGCATGCCTCAAAGGGGACCATTGTGAATTTTCTCATCATTGGAAGCATCCTCCGAATAATGTAGGAAGTTTCCATTCCCTTGTGTTTTTTTTCCTTCTTATTATTTGCAGTTACCTATTGATGATGCTTTTTGGTTACCTTACTATCTTGTTTCTTACCTGGTCATTGCAGATATGCACATACTATCAGAAAGGAAACTGCTTTTATGGTAGTCGGTGCAGATATGAACACGTCAAGGCTTCACAATCAGATCCGTCGGCTTCATCTTCGTCCACAGCACCTGATTCTGTACCTTTACCTCCTTCAAAAACTGCATCTGTTGGGTCGGTTGTATCTTTAGCTGCTTCCACCAAGTTTCCTGATTCCAGTAGAGATTTCGTTGCTCCACAAGAAGGGAATTTGGAATCTGTGCCTCGGGATCTATCGGATAACTGTGAACCTGTTGAGCCTAGGAGCAATAATCCTGTTGAACGTTCTATCTGCTCATTTGCCGCAGCTGGTAATTGCCCCCTTGGAGAAAAATGTCCTCATATTCATGGAGACTTGTGTTCCACCTGTGAAAAGCATTGTTTGCATCCTTTTAGACCTGAACAAAGGGAGGAACATATGAAAATGTGCAAGAAGAAGCAAAAATATCTTAATGCATTGAAACTTAGTCAAGAAATAGAATGTTGTGTGTGCCTGGATCGTATTCTCTCAAAGCCCACAGCAGCTGAGCGTAAGTTTGGAATTCTTTCGGAATGTGATCATCCATTCTGCATAACATGCATTAGAAATTGGCGTAGCAGTTCTCCTTCCTCTGGAATGGATGTCAATACTGCCTTGAGGGCTTGCCCAATCTGCCGCAGGCTATCATATTTCGTCATTCCAAGTGTCATTTGGTATTGGACTATGGACGAAAAACAGCGAATTGTTGATGGCTACAAGGCAAAATTGAGGTAATGTCACTGCGATTTCGAAGCGTCTTATATTTCCTGCTTACATGCATTAGATTCTAAGTTGTAAGTTGTCAGAAGTATGTATATATGAATATATATATAATTGATGGATTGTTTGGATAATCTGTAAAATATATTTAATGATGGGGTGAATCAGATCATCTGGTTTCCACTACATACTTAATGGAGGATGGAATCTGTTAAAAAAGAAAAAATCTACATTGTAGAATGTTTTCATGATGTGATGAGCACAAGTCATTTTAGTGTAACAACTCTGAGCTTCAGGCTTGCATACGTACATAACATAAGGGAAAATGCTGAACTTAGAATTTTGTAGATTTGTAAATTGTATGCCAATTTTGCTTTTCTAACTAGTAAATCTTTTTGTTTTATATTGTTTCTTCACATGTGCAGGTCAATAAATTGCAAGCACTTTAACTTTGGAAATGGGAACTGTCCTTTTGGGAATAGTTGTTTTTACAAGGTAATAATTTTCATTCATTCTTTAACTCACTGTACAACCTATAAATTTCCTCTTTTTTTTGGATCTTGTCAACTAGAAGCTGTTTAGATGTGAATTTATATTATCATTCATTCCCTGCTTTTCCATTTTCCCTATCTTGTTTTTTGTGTGGTGATTCCTCACCCTTTTCTCTCATGTAGTCACTACAATTGCATGATGATTTAGCTGGTTTTTAACCCAATCTCATCTATGGTATCTAACAGTTGGACTTTTATTTGAAGGAGACTGGTTTAGGAAAATAAATTTGTTCGTACTCAGAACATTTGACAACCTCAACATTTGATGTCTTCTTCAGACACTTAATTACAGAAGACAAACTGATTATTCTTTATACTGAAGGTTTCAAAACAATGTGGAATTTTGAACCAATTGAATCCTCAAGCAATGATGAGTATATTCTTGATCAAGTTCCTAAGTTTATTTGCTATGTTCTTCTGCTGGAATTTTGGAAAGGTGGTCTTTGATATGATGCCGCCTTTCTCAACCAGGAGTAGATTGATCTTGGTGTTTGTTAACTCGATCATTGCAGATTGTCTAGACTTGAGACATTGTTAACTGTGATTGGAATCAAGTTTCTAGAGGTTAAATTAGTTTGAGGGCTTTCATGTTATAAATATTAATAATGCGTGCAGGTTTGCCCTGGTTTAAATCCTGAAGTTTATATAACTGTTCTCTAGAGGATTTTTTACTCGTGCCTCCTAGTCTAGTCTTATGTTTTCCGGAAAAAGTTACTGGAAAAACACAAGCCAAGCTTTTCTGGTTACAGAAATTTCTTTCGATCAAATAGATGGTTGTATGAAGTCGTATCTTTCAAATGGTGTACTTCAAAAATGGCATATTTTTCCTTTCTAGCGTAGCCTTGCATCTTTAGTGTTCTGTTCTAGCTGTTCATATACCATTTTTATTGCTATGTTCTGTTTTTGTAGCATGCATATCGAGATGGTCAATTGGAGGAAGTGGCTTTATGTCATCTTGGAGTTGAAGATGGGCAGACCATCATAACTAAAAATATTAGGTATTCTCTGTTCCTATTTTGAGCCTTTTTTTTTTTTTTGCGGACTTTGCTTGTGGAACTAAAGCAATTTCTGCTCTCATTTGTTAGAAGTTTTCTCCTTCCATTCTTGCTTACAATACTGAGGGTTTTTGTAGGTTGTCCGACTTTCATAGTGACTATGGACATTAGGTGAATGTTCGCAACATTTACTAGAGTGTGAGTAACTCCATTAGTCTGGTTATTGTTTTAGGTAGACATCTCTTTATTGATCATTCTGATGCAGTTATCATCTGATTGATAATTGCTAATTCTCCAGTTTTTTTCTCCAATATTGCTGTATATGTCTCCAAGATGTTTCGATCTTATTCCAAAATACTTCCCACGCATGCAGGATATCTAAATAATGCAAGGACCTATATGCAGCTTTGATGAAAAAAGTTATTTCTTCAGTTTTTACTGTTGCTCTCCACATCAAAAGGTGTGTATCGCAAACCCAATCTTTTGGGGGGCACAGGTAGTCATAATTGTATGTCTTAGCTATCTAGGAGTTGGTAAAAACGTCAAATTTTAACGAAATGCAGGATTGTTGATAAGAGAAATCAAGCTTGGAATCATGGGGGTGTGCGGGGCTATGCAATATAAAGTGCAATCTTCTGTTATAATGATGGATGGATAAATATAAATATAATGTTGAAAGCAAGTAATGGGAATGGGATGTATTTAGTAGCCATTGGTGATTAATTTGAGTAATGGATGTGAGTGGCAGTGAAAAATGCTGCATGCTTCCCTTAATCAAGTGGGACGCTTGGAGCTGTATCTTGTGGCTCTCGTCTTTCTGGCAGAGCTATAGAGAGATGAGAAGTGAAAAATGGAGCAGCAGAAGCAGTGTTGTATGTTGAAATATTCAGGGTTCCCATGCTTTGATCCTGTATTTGTAATGTGCTGAATATTGTGTACACATTGGCTTTTGGATATGAATACATACAAGCTCCCAATACCTTATACTGTAATTATTCTACTTCAATTAAATAACTTTTTTTATCTTAAAAAAGGGGTAAACTACAAGTTTAGTACCCAAACTTTAAAATCATACCTAACGTTCAATTTAGGTTTCAATTTGGCATATGCCATTAGAAAATTAACAGAACTGCTGGCGTGATTTTTATTTTATTTTTTTCAATGATGACGTGACATTACCTTATGGTGACACGTTAGCATAATCGTTAAGTTTGTAACAATAGAGTATCAAAATGAAACCTAAATTAAATATTAGGTATAGCTTTGAAATAAAATAAAATTTAGATAATAAAATAGAATAAAAGTAATAGTTTATATATTAAACATTTTAGTAGAGTAGACATGATGACAATTATGACGACGACGTCATGAGATTAAATAAAAAAAAAATTACATCTTAAAATGTTGTGAGATATCAATGCTGCATAACAAAATCTTAAATTTTAAAAACGATGACATTACATATCTTATTATTCAAACCTTTTGGAGCAAAAGATAATGATTTCATGACAATACATTTACTATCATTTTTTTTATAGAGATAACAAAGATTTATAGATTTTCCTCGTCTGCAAAAGACAAATAGGATGAATTAAAATTGTGTACGTCCTCTTATTTTTCTTATCATTTATGTCTGATTAGTGACGTTAATTAAATTAAGAAAATTTATTATTAGCATAAAATAAAGGACATCATGAACATACATACGTGTATGTATGTATATAGAGATATACGAATACGTAGAGAATGAAGACACGTATATGCCGAAAGGAAGGGAGAAACCGAGGTCATGGAAAAGGATATGGTTATCACCTTTGCCCAGCCAGTGGCCTGTGGGCTGCGACTTTTCTCCCTACTTTCCCATTATATCCTCTTCTTTTTCTCCCTAAGATTATATAATATCTTCAAGCAATCAATAGAGTTGATTTAAGTTTATACTAATTTAACCTCTCTTAAGTATATTTTAAATTCGAGGTCTTTTGTATATCAAAAAACTTCGTTTAAATATTCATCTATTAAATTTAAGTGTACAACGCAGATTAATCTATATCAAAACTTCAAACCAGGAGAATAACCAAATATATATCCAAGCAAACATGTGATGGCTTGCCCCACTTCTATTACTACTTGACACGTTCATTACACGCATTCCATATAATAATAGTAATATATCCATTACAATAAGGGATTCACATAGGGAAGCGGGTAGAAGAATTCGTTATTCTAAAAATTTAAAATTATTATATATATTTTATATTAAAAATTTGTTTCTATTACTTTTTAAAATTTTATAGTTTCGTTTATCTTAACATTTTAAAAACTTATTCTCTGGTATAAAATCATGGATTAAACACGCGAGAAAGGAAGCAAGTTGAAATGGGGGAAAAGCGAAGAAGAGGTTAATTTGGTAAAATAGTGATTGGCAAATGAGAAATAAATAAATAAAATGTTAGTTTGATAGGCGTGTGTATGAAGCCCATATTCCGTCGCCATTACTGACCTGACCGACCTCTGTGGATCCCTTCAAATCCCCATAATTTCCTCTCTCCCTTCAAACCATTCAACAAATACTTCTCTTCTTCCTCCGTTTCATCCTTGTTTTTGCTTCCATCAACAACGCAGGGAGATATGGCTCAACGAACTGAAAAAGACGAGACCGAATTCAAAGTCCCCAACGCCTTAACGTTATGCGTTAACAACTGTGGGGTTACAGGCAACCCAGCCACCAACAACATGTGCCAGACATGTTTTTCCGCAGCCGCATCCTCCTCTTCTACCACCGGTGATGCGAGTGCTTCTGGAGTCTCGAGTCTCAAATTCCCCGACGTTCAATCCTCTAGATCTACACCGTCCCGTTCACGGGAAAGCCGATCCGGTTCTGCCCCGCTTTCAACAGCTGCAACAACAAAGACAACGAGGAATCGTCCGATGACGTCATCAAATAGATCGGTAAACGATCCCGCGGAGAAGAAGTCAGTTAACCGATGTTCGGGTTGCAGAAAACGCGTCGGGTTGACCGGGTTCAGGTGTCGATGCGGTGAGCTTTTCTGTTCGGATCATCGGTACTCGGATCGACATGATTGTAGCTACGACTACAAGGCAGCGGGTCGCGAGGCCATCGCTAGGGATAATCCCGTGGTTAAAGCAGCCAAGATTATCAGAGTTTGAGTTGGACCGATTGGGTCTAAATTCAATTCAATCAATTAAATAAAGTATTGTTAACAATTTTTCGACCTGAAACTTGAAGCAAGTAGTGGAGATCTATGCTCCATCTCGGAAAATTGGAAAAAACAATTTTCAGAAAGGGAGAACTGGGTCAAAATCTTGACATGAACTGGGGATGAAGAAGATAATTTCTCTCCTCTCATTCTTCATGTTTGAATCAAATCTATAGTATTTCATGTTCAATCTTTACTTTAAAAAAATCAAATTTTATTATTTTAGAAATGAAGAATTGTTGTAGCTTATGATTTACTTGAGATGGTTTGTTTGTTTGAGATCCAAGTTCGATGAAATTATTGCTAATACTCAAGTTTGCTGTTTGTTTGTCAATAATAATGATATATTAATTTTTAGAAATAATTTTAATTTTTAATTCTTTTAATAAAATTTCATTTGATTCTTAAATTTTAAGTTAGATATTAATTTAATCTTTTTCTAGATCATGAACATAAATCTAATATTTGTTTCTTTGAAAAAATTTAAACTTACAAATATTAAGGATAAAATACATAAATATCTTCAATTATATATTGTTACTTTGATAAGTCTTTCTATTATTGTAAATTATAAATAATTTTTTGATTATAAGATATTTTTTGATAAGTCTTTCTATAAATTATTTTATACAATGTAAAAATATTTTATATTTGATAAATTTTAATCTAATAGTATTTCAGTTAATGTAAAAATAAGTATTTAAATTAAGCAATAAAATAATTTATTAGATATTTAATCAAATAGGGTGCAAACTAAAGAATGATAATTCAATACCAATAACCGGTTGGTATAGCGAGATGAGACAATAAATTCCTTAAGTAAGTTCAGGGGTTTGAATCTTGGCGATTACGAATGGAGCAAACTGGATTGGGAGGGTTGCCATCACCTTTGCAGTACCCATCTGAATTAGTCGACCAATAGATTGAAAATCAGTGGTTATACAAAATAAAGGAATGATAATCCAATGTTCTCAATTTTTCAATCTAATAACAATTTTGGTCATTATAAACTTAATTATTAGACAAATTAGACATTATTTTCTAATTCATTGTATTTTTATTAAAAAAAATTAATATTTCGACCTATATTTATATCTAATATTATCTCCGTCCCTAATACACGCATACACATATATTATATTTGTATATATACACATACAGGAGAGAGATGTTCAGGTTTTTCTTCAAAATTACACTGATGTTAAGTATTTTATATCAATATCTGCCTTGTAATCTCTATCTGACACAATATCTCGTACGATCGATTGTTTGGCTGGCCGCCATCGTTGCCGAAGAGCTAATTTATTTCAATAATACGAAGCGTTGTGATATTTTTATTATATTTTCCCATAAATATAATGAATGTAATTCAATTCTATTATTAGTATTGTTGATGTGTTAGTGGGCTCTATATTTGTGAAGTCTACTCTGCACAGTTTGACAGAGAGAAGACAAGCATAATTAAAAGAAATGGAGCCAATGAACTGTATCTGTCACCAAAGGAAACAACTCAAACAAGCTTTAATATGCAAATAACTAAGCTATCTTTTCATTTTATGCAATCTACAGATAGTACGAATAGGGAAAGGCTCCGATGATGAGCTCTGCACAATTTTATTCTTAAAAGTCATGCATGGATCTACTTCATTGCATCGCCTGCGCATGCACCAGAAAGTATATTTAAGGAGTAAATAATTTATGTGTTGAAACAAGGAAAAATATATAAGTGTTTGTATAGAGGGTGAGAGGGGAATACATGGTTCAAAGTTGGCAGAACATTTCTGAGGCAGCTGGAGTGCCATGTTCCGATCTACACCGGTTATGGGAGGACCATTGACAAGAACACATAGACATGGTTGACCCAGAGCTTTGATGGCGTTGCAGCAGGTATCGCTCGGTGGAATTCGGCTAAAGGGAGTAACCGCAGCTCTGCACGGTATCAACTGCACCAGTGCCATCAAGAATGTGTTGTGACAAGAAGTGGCCCGACCTTGTTCGACCATACCTGTAAGGACCAACACCAACATCATCAAAGGCACTGCCTTGGAGTTGGACCCCAGAAGAAGCAGCTTCATCTTAGATTTTGAGCTTATCTCTACTCCCTTGTTGGTTTCCTCTTAATTATTGGGATTCAGAGCAGATATCTGAATAAATATGCATGAATAGAAGTCATGTCATGCCATTAGGTACCTATGTCCTAACCACGTATCACACAATTCATGCCATCATCTCGCTTATCCCTTGGAAACCAATTTAATATAATTTATTAGAAGGGTAAAGTTCACAAATGGTTTTGTCTATAAAGCGATGCTTTATCGAATCTCTAGACCATTAAAAGTTACAAAATGATCTATCGACTATAAAATGTTGCTTTGTTGACTCATCCGACTATTATTATTATTATTATTTAATTAAAACTATTAAAAGTTATAAAATGATCACCCGACTATTCATATACTCCAAACTCGCCATTTTCTGTTAAAAAATTGTAGTGGTTTGAGCTGAACATTAACTTGTTGACTAAGATGTGATAAAATCATATTTTACTGGTATCGTCGTTCTTTCAAGCACTAGCTCGACGATATAATCTTTCAAGCACTAGGTCAACAATATAATGTAAACAGAGAGTCGATCTATAAAATACAACTCAAATAATTCTGTGATAAGATTTTATCATATCCCAACCAACTGGTTAATCTCAGACGAATGTCAATTTTTTATGTACTGTTATTTTATTTTGATCAAATGAATGAAAATCCATTTTACTTTATCGTTTTTTATTTCAATATACCACCCATTTCTTTGTATTTTTCCTTGTTTGGTTGTCTTGGAGTTGTTCATATTTGAGTTGAGGACTTCGTACCAATATTTAATTTTTAATTCTATTTTAGTTGAATGTAACTTAAAAAAAATCAATTTAATTTATATTTATAGTTTTATTTCAAATTTCTATATTTATTGTGTGGGTTTGAATTTTTATCTCTAAAAATAAAAAATTAGATAATATAATTATCGATGTATTTTGTTTCTTTAAATTTTTATGTGAATAGATGCTTTTTAAAGATTTAAAACAATATCAGCATGATATTTTAATATATAATTTATATCGGAAAAAATAAAAAATATTGATTAATATATATTTTTAAATAACTCCAAAAAATAATGTTGGATTTCGCCTCTACTCCAAACCAACTTCAAATATAAAATCTGAAACAGTTAGGCTCCTTAGCATTGTTGTTGTCACAGTTTCGAGGTCATAAGCTATTCCTCGTGGCAAAAACAATGTTGAACGAGTAAAATATTTCTAGTTATGATGTTAAACTCATGATTTGACTAACCTAACCAAAATACTTAGGTAAAACGACTTCATTATTATCATGATTTGTATGCTAAACGACTTCATTATTATCATGATTTGCTTGATTATGCTAAACTTTTATTATTTTTAATATATAGTAAAATGACTTCATTATTATCATGATTTGATTTTATTATGCTAAACTTTTATTATTTTTAATATATAGTAATTATTTGAAGATTTAAGTCTGAACTTGTAATGTTAAAGAATCTACACTAATTTTATACCAATTAATTAAACTAATATTCAATAAACTAAGTTATCTTTTTTTTTTCAAACACGGATTTTATCACACCCCGAATTAGGTGTTAAAAGTTTTGGGGACAAATTAAGATTAACTAAGTGAAATTTATTTTTCTTTTGTTTATTTAGTTTTTAATAATTTCGACTTTATGATAAGTTTTTAGTTATTTGATTGTTGTTTTCGTTTATTTTTTTAGGGTAATATTTGACATTACTACGACTAATCAAAATCATGCTTATTTATTATCACATTGATCTTTTCTGTTTTTGATTCTCATATTAAATTTGGATACACAATTACATTTGTGGATAGTTTGTTTACATCGTTCGACTGCAGTTAGTCGATTCTCTTTTAATAACTTGATTCCCTTTTCTGGTTCGTTTTCTGATGTGGTCAAATCTGTTCATATCAATATTTTGTTTGAATTTTTTGTTAAATTTTTAATCTTTTATTGTATGGATGATCATTGTGTGATCTTAAATAACTAATTTTTACACCAATAATTATATTTCATCGTCATAAATTTAATTATGCGTTTAATTTAAGTTTATAATTATAAATTTTTAATTGTAATTCTAAATTAAAAACTAACTGTTTGTATATAAAATAAAGGTAAATCACAACTCTAACATAATTCAACAATCGTTTTACTAATGAATCTAAATATATTAAAAACCTATATTCAAACAAATTATCAATAAATAAATATATATATATATATAAAATATATGATAATTTGAAATTTTCAGGTGACGACTGTTTCTGATCATCCTCTCCAACTTTCTTAACCATTGACAAGATACATACATCATACAGATACAGTTGCTCGAACTCAACACCTCAAGAAGATACAATACTCTTTTTAATTACTAAACCAATTAATAGATTCTATTCCTAATCAATTATTTAAAATAATTTAATTGTTATTAATGAATTACACATAAAAGCAAAACTAGTCTAATAGAAAACAATATAAATTCCAAATAAAAAATTACTCAAATTTTAATATAAAATCACAGAATAATACATAATAATTTTGTTTAAATAATAAATATATCTAAATTATATTAATTTAAATTCTATTTAAATACTTACAAATTTATCTCAACAAAATTTATATACCATTTCTGAAAAATTCCCCTTTAAAAGTACCGGACCTACTCTCATTTCTCTTCGCACAGCCCCCGCCGCCATCATCACCAGTCTGTTACAGCTTCGCTTTCTCTTCTGACCCAATCCTTTCTCGCCTCGTCTTCTTGTTGCGACCGGTAATTATTGAAACCCTAAATCTCACTTCAAGATTGATATCTACTGAACTCACGAGATTCTGAGTAATCTGCCCTCTGCCTCTGCATCACTCTCTATATTTGATATTATGTTTTCGATTTCACTGTTTGTTACACTGTCTCATCCCATACTTTCTCTGTTTGTTTTGTTGAAAATGATATATAAATGTATGTATGTATAAGGTATCTGTTTTCTTGGAAATAGCGGACCATTATTGCCGCTATTTTCCGTTCCACTACTATAGTGGCCGCGGTTTGTTTAGGCTGCTCTGGAGGTGTATGTGCCGCTAATGTGAAATAGTGGCCACCACAGCGCTAGGCAATTGCTATTTGAAATCCCGAGGTAACCCAAACAAAATACGATACAGCTGTTGTTTGGGTAGGATAGTTACGTTTATAGCATCTTGCTTCTGTTGGATGCATTATTCGGTGAAATGATTATGGTCTAATGATTCCAATCTAATTGCCAGTCTTGATTTTTCTGATTACCAAGTTTTTCTAATAACGAGTTTGCATCTTTTTAGGTGCATTCAGGGATTGTCTTGAAAAAAAGCTTTTCCCCCTTTTAACGAATATACAGACACATATACATATCAGTTCAATTTCTGTGGAGCCGCTTATGATATTTTCTTAGCTCATGGGCTTTTGTTTTTCTCCTCCCGTCTAGTTATGTTATACACTTATAATATTTGTTATCGGATTTTTGGGTGACAACCAACTCATTGTAGAAGTTATTCAATCTCTTTATGTGCTTATAAGTATTGAAAAATCAAGTTAGTGCAAATGGCGGGAAAATCTAGTAAGGGAAGGAACCGGAGAGGGTCACACAATTCAACAACTTCTTCAGAGCAAGCTGTCTCCTCAGATGTTCCCTTGAAGGATAATGTAACTGCTTCCAAGCCTCCTAATGTTGCCTCTAATGGAGTTGCAAACGTGGTTGAATCATCTGGTCCCAAGTCAGAAATGACAGAGCAAGAAGCTTTGGATTCATCAAGCCAACAAAAGCAAGGTGAATTTTTATGCATGATTGCTATATTATTACTTTTAGTGTGATGACCTTCCATTAGCAAATTATGATCAGCTCTGAAATCTTATAATGATTTCCTTTTTTCAAGAGATTTATTAGCATTGGTGTTTAAAGAAAGAGCTTTATTATTATTATTTTTCCATCTACATTCTATGATTTCAATAATTTATCTATATGTATGTATTTTCAGTCGTCTAATCCATGATTTTCAGACTTCAGTTATTTGTCTGTGTGTACGTGTTCATTTGTCAAAATTCTGAAAAGTTGTTGATAAATATGTTTCCTTGAACAATATTAGACAGATGAATAGTCATTTCATATCTTTGCATCTATTAGACTTTTCATCTTTGGTTTAACAACCTGCTTTTGCTGTTGTTTATATGAAATCTTAATTTAAGTGTGTTTTTTATGGTTCTACTTCTATTGAATACTTCTTGAATTGCTCTTGGACTCACATTCTTCCCATATTAATGCAGGTGACCTTCATCTTTATCCGGTGCCTGTTAAAACACAAAGCGGAGAAAAGCTTGAACTGCAGGTGAACCAACTTGCTTTCAGAACAATGCTCTCACTCTCTCTATGCATGTATATGGTTTGCAGATGTATTCTTTTTATGGGTGGATGTGTTTACAAATCTAGATTTGGAATGGTTTTCATTGGGATACAATTAAAAATTGAATTTGCTTTTTGTGTAGATACCTTATTACTGATGTGGTTTAAATGATGAATTGACTATTTGCATATGCAGTTGAATCCTGGAGATTCTGTCATGGACATACGGCAATTCCTTCTTGATGCTCCAGAGACCTGTTACTTCACATGCTATGATTTACTGCTGCACATTAAGGACGGTTCAACTCATCATTTAGAAGACTATAATGAAATTTCTGAAGTAGCTGACATTACTATCGGTGGTTGCTCCTTGGAGATGGTTGCTGGTATACTAGCATTGTTTTCCATTTTATGGTTTTAAGGTCTATGCGTGGGCTCTAACCTGATATTTTTGGCAGCATTATATGATGATAGATCCATCAGAGCTCATGTTCACTGCACAAGAGATCTACTTTCCCTTTCTACACTTCATGCCTCGCTCTCAACTTCACTTGCATTGCAGTATGAGAAGGCACAAAGTAAAGCTTCCAATTCAGGAGGTTTTAAATTGGACCTTAAATCACCGTCATTTACCATTTTGCAAACTCTGGGATTTTAACCTTTAGTTTTTTTTAAAATCCAGATGCTGCAAAAATTGAAGTTCCAGAGCTTGATGGCTTGGGCTTTATGGAGGATGTTACTGGATCATTAGGTAAATTACTGTCCTCATCTTCAAAGGAGATCAAATGTGTGGAGAACATTGTTTTTTCGTCCTTCAATCCTCCACCAAGCTATCAAAGGTAAAATTCTGAATTTCTTTTCTTTATATTGGCAGGGTGTTTTTGTTGCTGGGGGTGAATGAGTTTTGCCATTTATCTTGAATGAGTAACAACATATTGTAACTTTGTTGGGGACAGGCTTGTTGGGGATTTGATCTATTTGGATGTAGAAACTTTAGAGGGTAACAAATACTGTATTACGGGAACCGCAAAGATATTTTATGTCAATTCAAGCACTGGGAACATTCTTGATCCCAGACCAAGCAAAGTTGGTTATGAAGCAACAACTCTCGTTGGACTCTTGCAGAAAATTAGCTCTAAATTCAGGAAAGGTAACATAATATGTCAAAACATTCTTTTACCTGGTTTTAGAGGTTGATATTTTCTAGTCCATTTACCATTATCCTGTAATTTTTTTTTTGTATTTGTAATGAAGCTTTCCATGAGACTATGGAGCGGAAGGCCACTGCGCATCCTTTTGAAAATGTTCAATCTTTGCTTCCACCAAATTCATGGCTGGAATCATATCCAGTTCCTGGTAAGTTCTTTCTAAAGTTATGCTTAGTGTTTTGCTTCGGAAAAGGAATAAATGGATTGAACCTCTGATGTGGAGGGTACTTCTTTTTTGTCTGTTTTTTCTTACACTACGTGCGGTAGGGAAGAAAATGGACGGAAGTGAAAAAAGTGAGGAAAAAAGAAGGAAAGGGAAGAAAGTTGTTAAAAGTTGTATGCTATGGAGGATAAAAATAGAGGAAAAGAGAGAAGATAGGGTAAAGTTATAAATAAAGTTGTTAATGTAAGTTGAATGGCGTTTTTATATCCCATAGAAGGCTTTGATTTGAAGGGAAAGGATAGTTGCAAATGCACCCATTTTCTTTTCCTGTACTTCTTTCCTATCAATTGTAGGAAAGGGTGGAAAGAAAGCAGTTTATCCTAATATTCCATTCCCTTCCATCTAGTGTAATTTTTTCTGTTTGCTTTTTGGGTGTGCTTGTTAGATGTTTGCGCAGTGAGAATATATTTTTTTTTGTTTTAAAAAATTAAAAACAATGAATTTAAGTATGTTGCATTGGAAAAACAGTATTATTGTTTTGCAAAGCTGATTCTGCTGTTTGTGCTGTTGTCAGATCACAAACGCGATGCAGCCAGAGCAGAGGATGCATTAACTCCTTCATATGGGAGTGAGTTGATTGGCATGCAAAGAGATTGGAATGAGGAACTGCAATCTTGTCGAGAGTTCCCGCATACAACTCCTCAAGAAAGGTACATAATACCATGACCTACTTATAATTAACTTCTAATTATCATAATAATTTTTTTGAAGAACTTAACTCATCCTGTAGATGTATAATGCTTATTATCTAATAATTAGCTAGTAATAAAACATTTAGGGGTTGTTTGATAAAATAAAATGTTTAAGCGCTGAATGATTCAATCGCCTGAATGATTCAAAGGCTTTGTATGATTGACTCTGAATGTGACATGTTGTTTGATAATGGTTCTGAATGTACAATCTGAATCATGAATATTTTCATTTTTACCTTCATAATGATTTATTATATTATAAGATATGATTGTTTAATAAGACAACATGTGAAAAAATAGGTGTTATGGTAAAATACCAGGTGCTTAATGATTCAGAATGTGCTTTAATGCTGAATCATTCAGCAGTGTTTTGTTGTTTCATTCAACAGTGTTGATGTTTCATTCAGCATAGTCTTCATTCAAAGGTGACAATCAAACACGTTGAATGTTGAACGGTTCAGCATTCAGCGCTGAAGGGTTCCATTCAGCAGTAAACAAACGACCCCTTAATCAATATTCTTTGCAAATTATGTCTAGCTGGATCTACGTGATCCATGCAATGCTGATTATTCATTTTGATAAGAATGTATCATGTTTGAATAACAGTTTTATATGCTTGTGCACCGAATTTAATTGGTACTGTAAATTTAAATTGTAATAGCATACATATCAGATAGAGGATTAAATTTGATGTGTCATACTGAAAGGAAATTAAATCTTTTTGTCTTTTGGTCTGATAGAACTTTTGCTACATTTGGTAGCACTGTTATTTTTTTCCTCACGTTTTAGTACATGAGGTAGCAATAAACTAACTTAACTTCGTACTCTAATTTTTAGTTATTCACGTGACTTAGTTTAAAATAAAGAGAAATTGTCTATTTTGATGAGGTCTCATTTTTACCTGAGTTTTTTACTCATCTTTCTAATTTCCAGTTTAGATTTGTATAGATTCTTTTTTATGTTATGAGAAACTATTTTAAAACCCCTATAATAATTAAACTTTTCCTTTTGCTAATACTTATGCCAAATGAGTCATTAATGTTCTAAATCTTGACATAAGAAGCCCCAAAATATAGAGTTAATGTGTGGTTGAATGGGAAATTAAAAAAATTAATCCAACGCATTTCTGATATTAAGATTTTTAAGGTTACAATGTATGATATGTACTATTTTGTAGTTTGTGAATGAATTAGTATCTTAATTTTCTTTTAAGCTGGACATACATGCCACATGTTCGCAGGCTTTAAGCCATTATCAATCATTTTAGAGTTTCTGCTTATCATGTGGACATTTTTTGCAGGATCCTGCGGGATAGGGCTCTCTATAAAGTGACCTCAGACTTTGTTGATGCAGCAATTAGTGGTGCTGTTGGAGTCATCAACAGATGTATACCACCTATAAATCCAACTGATCCTTGAGTGCTTTCACATGTTAGTATTCCTTAAAAGAACTCTGCCTTTGATTGAGAATTTTAGGATGATTTGAAAACTGTGTTATCTTTCACATTTCCTCTGGAAAGATGAACTATGATTTCTCTGAGGAGTTACATTGTCCTGTTTCCCCCTCTTGATGTTTGTGATATTATTTTAAGGTCAGGCTTAGGCATCTCTTAGCAGTTTATCAATTCATTTATTTCTCTGTTCTTTGTTTAGTAATTTCATTTTTTACAGCCTAATTTTCCTCCTCATTGCATTTTTGCTCTTGTTGTTTTACCTTATAATCGAGATAAATTTGGTAATGTCATATATTTTCATTTCAGGTACGTTCATAACAACATATTCTTCAGTTTTGCTGTTGATTCGGATATGGAACGACTGTCCAGGAAACGTTCAGTAGATACTTATTCAAATTCTGAGAGCAGAAACGAAGCTGCAGGTAGCATGAATCCAAACGAGGTAAGATCAAGCATGGGGGGAAGTGATAGTGTAACAGAATTGGCTCAAGGGTCTGTTGAGACACCATTGGCTGAGAGCGAGCAGGCTACATATGCTTCTGCAAATAATGATTTGAAAGGCACAAAGGCATATCAGGAAGCTGATGTCCCTGGACTTCATAACCTTGCTATGGCCATAATTGATTATAGAGGTCATAGAGTGGTGGCGCAGGTGAGCGCCCTTTCCTTTGCTATTTTAGGAGAAGTTGTTGGATGCTTCTTCAGCCTAATTGTTAATTTTTCCTTTTTTGATGTCTTCATTTATTTGATTAGAATTAGGTAATAATTTGACACTTCTTTTGTAGAGTGTCTTACCTGGCATTCTCCAAGGGGATAAATCAGATTCTCTCCTTTATGGATCTGTTGACAATGGAAAAAAGATCTGTTGGAATGAAGATTTTCATTCAAAGGTGAGAAAATTTGACATTCTCAAAAAAATGTCCGTTTTATGTGGCATGTTTGTGGACAAATCACTTTCTTGTTGGTTGTAGCATCAATTTCTTTCAACTTTTATATTTCATTTTATTTTAATTTCTTACATTACTATATTAGATACTCTTTACAGAGAATAAATGTTTTGGTGGGGAGTGCTGACTTCTATGTTCCTTTAGGTACTTGAAGCTGCCAAACGCCTTCATTTGAAGGAGCACACGGTACTTGATGCATCTGGGAATGTTTTCAAATTGGCTGCTCCAGTGGAATGCAAGGGCATTGTTGGTAGTGATGACAGGTTATTGAACCTATCCTTTTGGTTTGCAAGCTCAGAGATGCATTGATATTCTTCTCTTGATGTCCTTAACAGTCTTTTTGATACCCATCACTGGCCTTGAGTTCACATTTTTTTTTATTTACTTAAGGCATAGTGTTCTCAAATCATTGATTCTATTTACTTGTTGTTTCACATTTCTAATTAACTCTTCCCTTTTCTTAAGAGTTGCAATTTCCTCGCACTTCACCGACTTAATCTTAGTTTTACTCAATTCTGTTCAGTTTATTTTCTTTAGGTTCCTAGTCAGAGGACACATCTACTTTGCAGCTTTAATTGCTAGATGAGATTAGTTAATATTCCTTCCAAGGAATGTTTCTCCTAAGAGAGAGAAAGATGACTATATTTTTTCATTTTACATGCTAATATGAGCTTCAACTTTGCATGTTATAATTTGTGCTCAACTAAATTTTTGTCTTTGGCTTTCTTTTCCTGTTCCTTAAATTCCATTTTTTAATTAGGCATTATCTTCTGGATTTGATGAGAGCAACTCCTCGTGATGCAAATTTTAATGGACCAGGATCTCGATTTTGTATATTGAGATCAGAACTAATTATTGCTTTTATCCAGGTATTACATTCTTACATTAATGTCAATTTGCAATTTGTATGAAGTGCTCTTATCTGATGTTGACTTGCTTAACTGGAGAAGGCTCAAGCTCCAGAAAGCTCAAAATCTGTGTCTAAATCTGAGGGAGAGGTTAATGTTGCAATCGATTCTTCAAAATCTGAGGGAGAGGTTAATGTTGCAACAGATTCTTCAAAATCTGAGGGAGAGGTTAATGTTGTAACCGATTCTTCAAAATTTGAGGAAGAGGTTAATGTTGCAACTTATTCTTCAAAAGCTGCTGTTGACGAAGCACCAGTGGCTACAGATGCTCATGAAGCTGCAACTTCTGATCATGAGGCAAGTCTCTCTTCGATAACACAGATCTAATCTGTTGCATTTGCCTTTCTATCTAATACTGTTCAGGTTTTCGAGTTCTCATAAGCATTTTCTTTTTTGTTGCCAAATGTGGTAAATGGTGATAATCACCCAACTTTAAGAAAGTGACTCAAGTGGTCATTGTGTTTGTCAAAGCTTTTAAATATTTTCTGCAAAGATAAGTGGATAATGCATTTGTTATGCAAATTCTTGATTAGGTGGAAATTTTGAAATGGTTGCAGACATTTTTATATCTAGTGTTTTTTTTACGTGGATTAAGGAACTGTTTGATTAGTAGTAAGATGTGAATTTTTGGGCTTATAATGTAATATTTAACTATACTCCGTTTATTACCTTATAACCGTTTGCTGCAAAACATATTTCAGTCTGTTTAACATGAAAGATATTTTGCTCATGGGCCCTTTGACCTCAGGGTACAACCAAGGAAGATAAAAATAAGGTTGATACACAATGTGCTTCTGCATCTGTTAAAAGTTGTGAAACACATGAGATATTATTTAACCCCAACGTTTTCACCGAATTTAAATTGGGTGGGAGTCAAGAGGTGAGTCTTCTTTATCTGCAACTTTCCTTCCTTTACAATGCTGCTAAACTTTTGATATCTTAGATTTTTCCTTTGTGTACACCAGGAGATAGACGCTGATGAGGAAAATGTAAGGAAAGCTAGCTCTTATCTTTTAGATGTTGTTCTTCCCAAGTTTATACAAGATCTTTGCACGCTGGAAGTTTCACCCATGGATGGCCAGACACTGACAGAAGCACTTCATGCACATGGAATTAATATCCGATACATTGGGAATGTAATCTTTATGAATTATGCGGGTTTATTTGTTTAATCCATTTTGGTGACAGAACTGAAAGCTGTTACTGAATTGCATAATTTACAGGTTGCCATGGGACAAAACATCTTCCTCATCTTTGGGATCTTTGTTCTAATGAGATTGTTGTCCGGTCAGCAAAGCATGTCTTGAAGGTGGTATTATTTGTCTGCTTAAGATCTGTTCTTGTTGTATAATGCTTTCTATGTTCTGGATATTTTGCTGTGATTTTTCAATATGTAAATTGTAATCGACCCTCTTGCTGTTTATTTATGATTATGCAGGATGTTTTGAGAGATACAGAGGATCATGATCTGGGACCTGCAATTGCACATTTTTTTTAGCTGTTTATTTGGAAGTTGCCAATCTGTTGGTGCAAAATTGACTTCTAGCACACAGTCCAAAAACCAAAAGAAAGTAAGTTCAAGTAGATGAGTTTTTGCATCCCAAGTTACTTGCTATTTCAGAGCCCTTTATAGTATACTATCACTATATTTTGGTGTGTTAATTATCCAAATCTGTGTAAGCTAAAGATGCTGTTTCTTAAGAGTAAGTGTCCATCTGATGGCATTCTAGACTGGACTAGAGTGCATGAGGCCTATATTTATGTTCAAACTATATGCAGGAGCAAGCAAGTCACCAATCTTCAGGCAAAACATCAAAGGGACATTCCAGATGGAAGGGTAAAGCATCTGCAAAGAAGAATATTTCTTATTATATGAATGTCAGCTCTGAAAGTTTATGGTCTGAAATTCAGAAATTTGCAAAATTGAAATATCAGGTATTGAATTGTATTTTTGTTGTTGGTATGGATGTCCTATAGTTATGAATGAATGCTTACCACCATATCCTTCTGTTAGTGCCTCAAGAAAACATGATATGTTAATATGAGGTTATTGAATTTATGAATATACTTTGAATTGAGCATATCTATGATTTATGTTTGATATTGGATTTTCTTTATGTAGTTTGAGTTGCCAGAGGATGCAAGATCACGGGTGAAGAAAATTTCTGTCTTACGCAATCTATGTCAAAAGGTTCTTACAATTTTCTATTTCTTACATCTTTCCTTCTTGTTTGATGATTTGCTTCCATGTCAGTTTCAGATTTTTCGTGTTTGCCTACATTGCTGGTCCATGCTGTGAAACATTTTCCTCAGGAGATGCATCTTGTGTCAGGAACAAACTAACAATTTTGTTAGGGGTGATTTCCATCGTTATCTGTTCCATGGATTGTAGTTGATTGCATATGCTTGTCTGTTTAAAATTTGGATGAATTTCTAGCTTAGATAACCTTACACAACCTTTGTAAGCCTTTGTCTTTTGATTATGTCACATGTGCTAAGTAATTTGCACTATCACCACATGCTTACATGAATATGGTTTTCTATACAGGTGGGTATAACTATTGCTGCTCGGAAGTATGATTTGAATGCTGCTACACCCTTTCATACATCGGATATCTTGAATCTCCAACCTGTAGTGAAGCAGTCAGTTCCTGTATGTTCAGAAGCTAAAGATCTTATAGAGATGGGAAAGGTCCAATTAGCTGAAGTAAGCACTGTATTCCCCTTTTCACTCATAAACACAAGGATATATATCTAATTTCATGGCACCATTTTTTCGATTTCTGCATTTGTTGTGTATCTACTACCAGGTGGAAAAATTACAGTAGAAATTTTGGAAGTACATTAGACAAGAAAAATTGAGGGTCATTTTTTTCTGCAATTTTATTAGGTTTATGGTTGAATTGTGTTGGCAGTTTGTTGCATGTATATTTTTCACATTCTGAATAAACCGTGTTCCAATATCTCTCTCAGGGCATGCTTACTGAAGCGTACACAATATTTTCAGAGGCCTTTTCAATACTTCAACAGGTAAGTTAGGTCATTCCTCTTATTATGAATAAATAAATGTAAGCTTTTCTTGATTTAATCAATTGAATGATTTCAGGTCACTGGGCCAATGCACCGGGAGGTTGCCAATTGCTGTCGGTAGTTATCATAGCTCAATCAGTTTACTAATTTTTGTCTTCTAATCATTTTTCTGTCTTTAATATTTTAATTGTCCAAAAAGAAAATTTTATGCCCTCTTCATAGTATAGTGATGGTACTTTATTTTTGTATGTTTTGCTTTATGTACGTGAACCAACCTTTTTTAACCATGTTAAAGACATGGTATTATATCTTTTATAGTTAGGCAATTCTTTTTGACTTCCAATCTTGTCTAAATGGTTTTACTTCCATGTTTTCAGGTACCTTGCTATGGTTTTGTATCATGCAGGGATATGGCCGGGGCCATAATGCAACAGCACAAAGAACTAATTATAAATGAACGTTGCTTGGGTTTGGACCACCCTGATACTGCTCATAGGCATGGGTTCTTTCTCTATTTTCTTCTCAGACACAATATTGGGTTCATTTGGTGTCTTACAATCTGAACTGATCTTCATTGCCATTGCTACAACAATATTATTTTGATTTTTAAACTTCTAGATATTTTTAACCTTTCTTGCTCTCTTCAGGGGTCTAATAAAAATTTAATTTTCAACTATCATGCTCTGCAGTTATGGCAATATGGCTCTTTTCTACCACGGCCTGAGCCAGACAGAACTGGCACTACAGCACATGTCCAGAGCACTGCTTTTGCTAAGCCTATCCTGTGGCCCAGATCATCCTGATGTTGCTGCTACTTTCATAAATGTTGCAATGATGTATCAAGATCTTAAGAAGATGGATACAGCACTTCGTTATCTGCAAGAAGCCTTGAAAAAGAATGAAAGGCTGCTTGGCGAGGAACATATTCAAACAGCTGTATGCTATCACGCACTTGCAATTGTGTTCAACTGTATGGGTGCCTTCAAACTTTCGCATCAGGCATGTGTTTCTGGAAGAGTAATGCAATTTTTCTAACCAATTGGTTTAAATAAGATTGATTTTTATTGACTATTGTTTTTGGTGCACACAGCATGAGAAGAAAACATACAACATTCTCGTAAAACAGCTTGGTGAGGAGGACTCAAGAACAAGAGACTCCCAGAACTGGATTAAGACATTTAAAATGCGTGAACTTCAGGCAAGTAATTGGTCATGCAATCACTTTGATATCAATCTATTGTCGAAGGGTCTAATATCTGGGAAAGAATTATTTGAAGAGTAATGTTGAGTGTGCCTTTCTTATATATGTTCTTTGTGGTTTCTGAGGTAGCTAATTTTTATTGCAGATGAATGCTCAAAAGCAAAAAGGTCAAGCTTTAAATGCAGCTTCTGCTCAAAAGGCAATTGATCTCTTGAAGGTATTCTAATCACCCCGTTCTTTGTTCCCCTCCCTTTGACATTGTCAGTTTCACTATGCAACTGCTATTAGAAACTTATGCATGTAACCATTTCTTGCTTTCTTTCTCTGGGTTCCTTTTTCTGCAAATCAGTAGACAGATCCGAGAGAAACAATGTTATTTCATGTGATTAGCCACACTGTATACCTGACATAAATTGGCTTGGCAGGCTCATCCAGATTTGGTGCATGCATTCCAAGCCGCTGCTGCAGCTGGAGGATCTGGGAGTTCCAGTGCATCTTTCAACAAGTCTCTGAATGCAGCAATGATTGGCGAGACTCTACCTCGTGGACGAGGATTTGATGAAAGAGCAGCTCGAGCCACAGCGGAAGCAAGGAAGAAGGCTGTTGCCAGAGGTCTTTTGACTCGCTCGCATGGAATACCAGTCCAAGCTGTGCCCCCGTTAAGTCAGCTTCTTAATATGACCAATATGGGGGCAACTCCAGAGGTAGGAGATGGGGGAGAAGCTGCCGGAGAGAGTAAGGAAGCAAATGGGCATCATAATCTAGATGCTCCAGTTGATACCAAAAAAGATGAGTCAACATCCAAGCAAGGAGAAGAGGCAGCAGCACCTGTTGGATTAGGCACAGGTCTGGTTTCATTGAATGCTAAAAAGCAGAAAGCAAAACACAAAGTCACATCTTGAAATTGACGTGTGTAGCTTGAGGATTGTTTTTTTCATCCTTGGTAGTTATCGATTGCAAGTCCGGAGCAAGAATTCAAAGTTGCAATATACATTGTTTTAGTTTTTTTGCCCCCCAATAATCTGGCATGAAATCAGCTTGTTGCTAAGCACAGGGCAGCATCTGAGGCGACTAGGATTTTGGCATTTTCAGTCAGTTGTGTTCCTTTTGGACTTGTCATTTTAGGATTCAAGTATTTGGTATTGAAGTGTAATGAAATGAGCTTCCTTTCCTAGGTTTCGTTCTCTCATAATAGCGTTTTCCATTATTGTATGCTCGTACAAACAATTTTACTTTGTTTTGAACAGACCTCAATTTTCAACCAATTAAGAGAAATAACCTTGTATTGCAACTTGCAAGAGGAGCAAACTATTTATTTATTTCGTATTGGTTAATACTTGTTTTGATAGGACACTTGCTTAATTAAAACTAAATCGACCCAAGATTGTAGAGCAAACTAACATCATTTATCATCACAGTAAGCTATCGCTTCGAGCAGGCAACCGTTTGAAGAAATTGCTGGGAACAGATGGCATCTTGCTTCGGAACCTGGGATGGCGCAGACAATACAGACCGCCCACCAGAACCACTACCCTGAACGGCGTTGCATACAACACAACAGCCGTACAAAGGCAAAACAGAATGAAAAGGCTGGTGGCTCTAGGATCTCTCCACCCCAACAGTGACTCGAATCTCTCCCCTTGTGTTGCTATGTCGCCGACAACCGTTTGAATCCTCCCTGCAACACTTCGAAGCCGATCGTACCTCATTCTAACTACATCATGTGGTTTACATGTCGGAAAGGTGTCAAATTCTTCATCAAGCTCATCTGGATTCACTGCCTCAGCCCATGAAAGCTTTGTATCCATGTGGGGTGGGTGCCTTGGGCGAAACCTATAGTTCCATAGTCCCACAAGGAACAGGTAGAAGCACAGCGTCGGCAGAATCAACTCAGGGTACCATATCAGAATCAGAAACAGAACATGCACTAGAACGGATGTGATGGGGTTCTTCCAGTTGCAAACATTATCAAACCATCGACCGACAGAGATCATGCCGGAGACAAGAGACTTAATGCGGAAGAAATTAGCTTTGCTTCTTCTCATGCTCCACATGTGGGAATCCACATCTAACATATATTCAACCACCTCTTTTCTCAAAGGTGGTTCTGCTCGACCGAGCCGCCTTGCCACAATATTCATGGCTTGGTATCTCAGATTGTCTAGTTGATTAACTGTGAATGGATGTAAGTAATGCATCTTTGGCAGCAAAGGTTGCCCATAGATGTATATCATGTTAGCAAGTGAGAGAGTAGTGAATCTAAATGCTAGTTGTAGCTCCCCCATTTTCTTCAATCCATGTGGGTGCAACACCAGGAGTGGATAAGAATGTGTGTATATCCTATGAGCTTCTAGAGTTGATAACCGAATTCGTACCTTTCCGATCCGTGAATCTCGTGCTGCATTGCTTTCACCACCGTTGCTGCCACCCAAGTGGGTGTTGTCAAAAACTCCCAGTGTAATCACCGTGCAAGGATCGTAAACTTCCCACGTATATTGCTCGTTCCATTTGGGATTGAAAGTTTGGATGATGGTTCTGGTCCGAACCCACTTCTGGCCATACTTGGCCACACAATAGGCATCCGTACACCCTCGACCATCCTTCATTTTCATTGGGAGGAGCCCTTTTGCACCCAAAATGCCGACTTCTAGTATCCCAACAGGTTGTTTCCAAAGCTGCTTTGCTGTGGGCCTTTGATCACTAATGTACATTGTTGACTCATCCAGCACATGATATCCACCTTCAAGACAAACTCTCAGATGAATCCTACTAGAAAATTTAAGCTCTTTCCTCCTATCACCTTCCATGGAACCAAAACCGTACTTCTCGAGATTGAACCACCGAGATTGCACAGGACGATGGTCGAGCCGCTTCTCGAACGCGCTAAGAGGAAGGTTTATCTTCCCCAGCACATCCTCCTTCGATGGGTGCACTTGATCCTCGACAGTGATCGAAAGGTGTTCCTCAAAAGGCTCAGCCGTTACAAACACTAAATCTTCATTCCACAGCGGGTTGGGAGTACGACTGGGGCATATCTTGGTCCTCAGCACTTGATTTCCTATCTGTGCTTTCACGAAAACCTCGGGGAGGCGATTTCGATCACTGGCCACTACATCTTGAGCTTCAATCACATTCACCCTTAGGTACCAAAGCTTGGGCGACACATAAACCTTGGATCGGATGTTGAAAACGCCCTCTCCATGGACTGTGGCGGCATCCGAGTGCCATGCATCGGGAAACGCTTCATCAGCTTGCGTTCCCATCCAAACTGCAACCATCACCTCTCCCCTGACCTTCCCTTCTCCACGTCGGTCCTCTAATCTGTACCATTGAGGAGCCAATGGACTGTCGGGTGGGACTCTCGTTGGAACCTCGTTCAAATCGAAAACCACCCTTCCAAGATAATCGTCTCGTCCCGCCATTTCTTTGTCTTTCACTAAAACTTCTAGCGACGAGGACTGAACACGGTCCTTTGAGAAAGCAAACACCTGGTTCCATTCTGGATTTGTTTTCCTCTCAAAGTGCCTCGTTCTTCCCTTGTAATTCCCCAGCTTCACTTCCACGTACGGATCGCAGCTTCCGGTTAGGGAACTGGGAGGAAGATCTTTAGCTTTCACGACCCGAACGTAAAGATAGAACATTTGCTCGACGAGGTCGTAAGTGGTTGTGTATCTCTCGCCGCCAGTCATCCACCCTCGTCCTCCAAAAGCACCACCATTAGGCCATCGTTCGCCCAGCTGGGGATTGGTGTCCTTGAGATTATAGTCGTCCTCCTGCTCGCCAGGCAGCTGACCTTGTGCACTGAGAGGCTGCATAGTTTTAGTTTTGCACTACTTTGGTAGGTGTTTATGTATGTATGGACTATGGAGTTTGTTTCTGCAGGTTTTACTTTTGCTTAGTTGGTTTGGAGAATCAAGGTTTTCAAAGCAAGTATGTGTAGCATCCAGCTTCATGCTCCTTTTCAATATTAATCAGTTAGTTAAGAGGGTGTGTGAGGCTGGTGGAAGAAGCTAAGTTAGTAGCTCATCACAAGAAACCTCAAACTCTATTCTCAAGGAAAGAAGGTGTAAGAAAGGAGGAGATTGTAAAGATGGAATACTTAAGATTCTCTCATTGTTGAAGCAAGGAATGCATTGTTGGAGAAGATGGCTCCTAATCTATTATTTGCATCAAAATTTTCTATTACTATAATATTTTATATTTAAATTTAATCTCATCATCTAAATCAATTTTTTTAGTTCATATTGATTATTTAATTTAATTTTTACCATACATTTTAATACTTAATATCAAAACATTTTGATAAAACTAAATTTAAATATCGATTTTAAAAAAAATACATAAAATACCTATTTAGATTATAAAAATATATATAATATCAACTAAAATTTTTAATTTAAATTTAGGGTAAAGTACACAAATGATCCTCCGACTGTAGGGTGTTGCGTGTTGAGTTTCTTGACTATTAAAAGTTACAAAATGATCCTCTGACTATAAAGTGTTGCTTTGATGAGTTCCCTACTATTAAAAGTTACAAAATAGTCACCTGTCTATTTTTATGTTCCAAATTCGTTCATTTTCGTTAAAAAATCGGAGATTGTCTCAGCTAAACGTTAACCTACTCACTGTGTTATGGTAAAAATATAATTTTAGAATTGTTTGAGTTGTATTTTGTGGATCAAGCCTCTGTTTACATTATATCATCGAGTTAGCTCTTGAAGCATTATCTCGTTGAACCAGTGTTTAAAAACAACGAAGCTGCCAATAGACATCATTAAAATATGATTTTTTTATCATATCTCAGTTAGCATATTAACATCCAGATCAGACGACCGTCAAACTTTTAACGGAAAATGACGAGTTTAGAACATATGAATAGTTAGTTGACCATTTTTGTAACTTTTAATAATCAAGGGACTCAACAAAATAATTCCCTATAGTCGAAAGATCATTTTGTAACTTTTAATAGTCGATGAACTTAATAAAGTAATCTTTTATAGTTGGGGACCATTTTGTACTTTACCCTTAAATTTAAATATAAAATAGTGCCATAATCCAAAAGTTAACTGTAAACCGACATAGAAACATATAATGGAATATAATAGTAGTGAAGTGCTTATTGGTGAATATGTGTAACACCCCCAACCCGTACCTGACCCGGATACGAGTCTGAGGTATCACATTTACTTTTCAAACTTTGACTCATGACAAAAACTCGAGAAAATTTAAAACTTTCATTAAAGTCACAACGGTTTGTTTAACTCAATCAATTAGTACATGCCAACTATATTCAATATACAGAATACATCTAATTCAAGACATCTTTTCTGATCTGATCTTCGGTAAGAAGTAACTGACCGGTCTTGCTCCTCTTCACTTTTCTTCTAGCTTTCTGGAACCTACGTGTGAAACACTCACACGCTAAGTCGATGACTTAATGAGGCATAAAAACATATAACCACTACTAATGCATTCATAATCTATACTTATTATATCATACAAAATCATACATTCTGTAATGCAACCACTATCCACTTGTACACACACATCATTCACATATTCTTATAACAGGTTTCCTAGCACAAAACATGTAAATCATATGTAAGGTATTTATTATTATCTCTTTATTAGTCTTATTTTCGTTCTTTATCTTTTTGTCATATGTTCGTGCATCAATTCCTCTTAACCAAGCTATATTCACATCATCATATCACATATATCACTTCACACCATAAAGATTACAAATCAATCACATACTATCATGCAAGGTTCTTTTATATTATTTCCTTTATTAGCCCATGTACACATGTGAGAACCATAGATATGTGAGTCTATAGAGGTTGTGCACTAATGCTGTCACCACAGCTCGTATAATTGCACCGAAGTGCCACATAGAATTGCACCGGAGTGCCGCGTAGAATTGCACCGTAGTGCCATATAATAATGTCCATAAGGACCACATATCATTCCTTAAGAATCATATACATATACTAGGGATCAAGAATGTGTCTCACAAGACTTCACACATGTTCCAAAGAATATATATATATATATCCCGAAGGACCGCGTAGACCCTCGACTCTTGGCATGCCAACTATACCCCTAGCTCTCAAGACACATAACATGGACACTATCTTTTATATCCTTGCACATATTCATGTAAACATATCACATATTCATATAAGCTCGTAGCTTCATTCACACATACATGTAATCACGTAGTTCATGTAAATTCTCATATGATTTCATATTCATATAATCACGTAATTCACTTACACATAGCACATTTTTCATGTAATTCACAGATATCCCTTAGCTTATATCTCTTGATCATTTAATCATAACTTCTTATCACATATCTCATAGTCATGTCTTCATATATTCATTTCATCACACATACTCATAGTTTCTGGTCATATTATTCACATTCTCTGACTTATCTCTTATGATCTGGTAATCACTACACTTATTTCATATAACTTATTACCGAATAATTCACATATAAACACCTAGATCACTTTCACATAGCTTATATAAGTTTCCTGAATCCTTTCATATTACCTGATAACGTATATCATATAGGTATATAATAACTTATCTCATTTCGTCTACTTTATTCTTTATTTCTTTATATTCCCTTAGATTATATAACTTATGTTGTATTTCTAAACAAATATATTACACTTAATCATATTTTACTTATATACTACTTTAATCCATTTAATTAATTCAATTTCATACCTTCCTTATAACCTTTTCATATAACCCCATAGATCTTTAGCATATAATTTATCATATATATATACATATCAGCGCTTTATATTCAAGTTCCCTAATAGATATATTATTCTCATTCCATTCTATAATTCAATCTTATTTAGTTTCCTCAATTCTCATTAAATCAAATAACTCTATTTTACTAATTCTCATAACCATGTATTTCACATAGTCTTATATTTCATTATCTTATTACTTATATTTATTCTCCTATGATTCTTCATAAACCTCTATTTTCCTTTCCCTACAACTCTTGACTTATCTTCTATATTCATATAATTTCATAACTTATTTGATATTCTCTCATTAACACTTAATAGTGTGTGTACATAAACCACATCACATACAAAACATATCAATTCATATAATCAAGCATACATACACTCATATTCAACTCATGCCTTTAATCATGAATTCATATGTAACTCTTCAGGAAATAGACTCATCGCAAGTCTTCTTCCCATCGCCCATCATATACTATTGAATATGCACTCACCTTGCCTCACTAGTCAATTCCAATCTCTTATCTTTCCCTTTGATCGATCTTACTTGACAATGATTCCGGAACTCGTTCAGGCTCTGAATCTACATAATTATACATTTTCAAGACAATTATTAGATACCTACATCTTGTAATTCGATACTAACAACTTAAACGAACTTAATAAACAAATATTCATTTCTTCATTTAGGGGGGAATCGGTTCCCTCCTGTGGGGGTATCGGTTCCCCCATGACATTCTGTAAATTCTAGTTCGCTTGAGGGGGAATCGGTTCCCCTTGAATGGGTACCGATTCCCCTAGCCCAGAAATCACATTTTTCAGCACGAAAATTACTTCATTTCCTCTCAAACATTTCATATAACATCCCCTTTCTTATTCTTAACTTACATATACATGTTTAAACTCATTTTTACTCATTCAATACATCTTTAACTTCAAAATCTAATCCTCTACATAGAATTCAAGAATCACACTAATTTTTCTTCTTGTTCTAAATTCAATTCCATCACTTCATATCTCTTAATTCAACCATTGACAAGTCAAATTTATCTTCCAATTTGAGTAAAGAACTCTATTCCAGAATTTCATTCAAAAACTCTTGATCTTTAATCTCTCCTAATTCCACCATCCTTTGTTTTTAAGATGATTTAAGCTTTCCTAAAGCTTAATTATCATCCAATGATCATAACCAAATCCTAAATTCAGCTAAATATCAACTAACAAGAGATCTTACCTTTGCTTATGGCTTCACGGTGGAAAAGAAGAGAATGAAGAAGAGAAGTATGGAACTCTCTCATATTTCCCACGTTTTATAATACTCAAAAAGGGAAGATAAAAATCTTTCCCATGAAAAGACCATTTTCCCCTTTAGTTCATCCATCTTTGCTATTTAATCCAATATTAAAATTCTTTACTTAACTCCCGAGACTTTTAATTTATTTCTAAATTGAGCACAAAACTTTCAAAATTTACAATTTAGTCACTGACACTGATTTGGGATGTTACAATATGCTCAAGAAGCTTCTTTTGGAGCTGTTTTAAATTTCACTTGAAAAGAATTTTTTATTTAATTGTAGGGTAAACTACCAAATGGTCACTTACGTTTTATAATTGTACATTTTACTCATCAAATTCAAAAAACTTAAGTTTTGGTCACTTACATTATCATTTTATTAAGTTTTGGCTACTAGACGTTTAATGTCGTTAATTTAATGATGTGAAACACTAATAGAAGAGTTTAATTTTTATTTTAACCCCTAAGCTTTATATAAAATACTAATTATGGGTCTTTTTATAAATAAAAATTAATTTAGGGACAAAATTTTAATTTACCCTTTTTTTAATATGCTTTTCTTCCCAATTCTGGCTTCCCCTCTTGCCGCGCTTCTTGCTGTTCAACTTCTTCATCGCTGATCATGGAGCAAGAACATTAAAACAACCCACAACTTAAGTAGGTTAAGCAATATATGCATTCATAATTCACCCGATCTCTTTGCTAATTAGTGTTGAATCTATCGAGGCTTCTCAGAATCAAGCAGCTTCATACTATGATTCCCCTTGTTGTAAGAAGAGACCTGTCTCCAAAGAAAAGAGAGGAGGTTATAAGAGAAGGTGTTAGAAAACTCATGATCTTAAACATTGGATGTTCATACATAGATTGTACGAAATGTTAACGGGGTGTGTTTTTGTTGCAGGAAAGTTGAACATACATGGACAGTAGCTTCTGCAACTTTTGAAGATGGTCATGCGTGGAGGAAATACGGGGTGAGTTTTGGTGTATATATAATTAATATCATAGTTAGTACAGTGACTAAGTATTTAGCCTCTCTTCAAGGTAGTTAGGGTTCAATTTCTAATGCCTACACGCTTGAAATTAAATATACATTTTGGTGAAGTAAACACAACTAACATGCTTAGCCCAATGGCTAGGTTCTTGGTTCCTTTCCTTCATTTGGATGTTTAATTTATTTAATCCTAAGATGATGAAATGTGTCGTTATCTTATTAATCGAATAAAATTATTGAAAATGCCACTTGGATGCTGAATATGAAAGAGAAAAGTGACGTGGAAATTAAGAAAATCACATCATGTCACGTCAATATTGTTAATTTTTTTAACGACGGATGATAAAAACAAAAACAAAACGTAACGAAAAGCATGATTTAAAAATAATAATTAGATGATCAAAATAAAAAAGTGAGAATATGTGGGTGACTAAATAAGTAATTTTCCCTAAATATTATTAAAAGAAAGGAATGAATGCATTTAATTCATGTTTGGATGGCTAAATTAATAAAGTAAGGGATTAAAATTAATTGTTATATATATATATATATATTTGGATAAACGGTGAAAAATAAAAGAATTTTTTGTTTTTATATAATTTTAATCATCTAATTTATAATTAATGACATTTTTTAATAAAATAATATTATTCAAAAATCACAATTCTTGTAGTGTGGTATGATTTATTAATATAGTAACAATTTTTTAGACTATTTGACTGAGTGGAATTAGAAATGTATAATTATACTCGAATAATTGCATCATGCTATAAACAACAATAAGTTATTGCTAAATTGTTATTATTACTAAGAAAGTAATAATATTTTAGGAGTAGAACAAAAATTGAATTGGTAGATTCTTTAAACAGGAGGAATTAAATTTATTGGAATCTTATAAATTAGAACTATATTAATAGAATATATAAGTTTTGATATTAAAATTATTATTATATCATACTATAGCATTATTTCTTCTAATATTTAATAAAAATAATTTATTTATAATAATATTTTAAGTGAAAGATTAAATTATAACTTTCCAAATTCTTTTGAAAAAGGCAATATCATATAGATATACACCCATTTATGTTTTTGGTGAAGGAAATTTCAATTGTGTGAATCCAAAGAAACATACACGAATTCAATGACCTTATGAGTTATTATCTCTTAAGATCCCAGGTTTAAATACCGTGTATATAAAGATATAAACGTTCGTTGTCAAATGATTAATTGAAAATCTTTGAATAGATATTATTTTATATTCACCCGATTTATCAGGGGGAAAAACATACACACGGCAAAAAGGAAGAAGCTCTTTACTAACAAATATGCAATGTATATTATAATTATGAGGTACATACATATCCAATGAATAAAAAATATCTTTTCTTAAAGAATCAAAGAATGATAAACTATATCGTATGTATACATTATCTCATTATATGTGAACACTTCTGACTTCTCTTGCTTCGAATACGTACATACACATCCAAGCAGGATGGGTATACGCAAAGACGAAATCTGATACGCTTGTGCCAAGCTCGAGCCGGCTTCATTCATGAAACGGCGCTCCAGATGATGATCAGTGCCCCAGAAGCCATTCTTCTCAAATTTTCAAAGGGGAAGCACCAATGATTTTCTCAATTCAGTGTCAAGAAACTGTTGTGCAATGTTGTTGTCGTGTTGGAAACCTTCGGCATCAAATCGAACTGGAATGTACATCGTTGCACATACATTCCGGAACCGGATACTTTGTTACATCCCTTCCTGCTTTGCTGGTCCTGAGTTCCGGCTGCCCCAAAGATTCTTGGTGTAATTCCTTGATGATGTTGTTGAACTCTGCTTCAGGCATTGAAGAGTTGAGGAAATAAGGAAGCATGTGTCTTTTATTTGGAGTTACATACTTTCTGTGTCCTGAAAATGCTCTCTGTCCCTGTATCAACAATCAACAACAAAATCAGTTTTGTTGTAGCAGCAGAGAAGCATATGTGGTTTTGGACAAAAGACATTACAACGAACCTGGATGGCATGGCCCATATTTCCACCATGAGATGGCATGAAAACATCACTCTTCTCGGAAACTATGTAGTCAATGGCAGCCATGAAAGAAGCCTTCTTCGCAAATGGTTCTAATTCGCCGGGCAACGCAAGGTCGTCCTTATTGTAAAAATGGGGAAATTCTCTGGTTAAAGGTAACAAGGCTTCATTCCCACCAAGTGGTTGCCCCCCAGCCCAGTATATCTTTGCACTCCTTGGAGCCCCTAAAGCTTTAAGCAGCCTGAAGTATACGAGAGAAGATTGTTCAGTACATGATAGGGTATCAAGTGGAGCGCATAGCATTGCATAACTTGGAACTAGCTCTTACCTAGTCACTTCGAAAACATTCAAGGGGCAGAGTCCTGCAAGCTTTCGCTCATGGTAAGTCATGTTCGATTTCGAAGTAAGAAGCTCGGGACGCCGTCTCCTCTCATCTTGGATTAACTCATCATATTCTTTACTCAAGCCAGGTGAGCAACCAGTCCTCACCCACACATCCTTCTCCATTCGAAGATGAAGAGCAAGGTAGGGTCCTTTACTCTTCATTCTCTGAGCCAGCTTGTTGCCAAGTTCAAGGATTGGTGGAGCAAATTTCAAAGCTTGAAATGCCACCTGATATTAAATAATGAAAAATTAGAATCTCCAGATCAAACATGACTTGGTAAAGAAGAGGGCAAAGTCATTCAAATCCAGTAAGATTTTGTGTACCTTGCAGCGAAGCTTTTGAAGATAAGAAGGAAGATCCTTAGAGAGCCTTGAATCCAAGCCTCGTAAAAGCAAAACCCCTTCCCTATTTATCTATTACACAAAGAGAAACGCATCAATAGGTGCAGATTAAAAGGAAAAGAAAATTGACAAGTAATCCATACGCAACATATCTAAACGAGTCTCACACTTTTGAAAGCCTAAGCAAACGCAATGTGTCATAGTTTATCTGGTGGTCGCGTTTTTGGTTGAGTTGCAATTAGGAGACAATAGTGGGTGATGACACATAATTGCGGTTGTGGACCGCTATTTAAATCTCTGTTAAGAGACCTATCCATTAACAACAAAAAGCCTAATATTTTGCAAGTGACTAAATTACTTGCTGAAAATGAAACAATATAGAGGAAAAGGATTGATACCCTCTTGAGATAACGTGAACGGATCCATTGAGGCGAGACATGAGGTGGAGTCCTTCTTTCCTCTACTGGCCTTGTCATTATATGTGTAGAAGGCAACGAGGATAGTATACGCACGTCATCCGCAAGAGCATTCTTGAAATGAGCCAAGTCGAATATATCAGAAAATTCACTGCAAATGATGAACATATTAGTAAACAACAATTTATGTACTCGGGGAATGTATGATTTGATTTAACTTGTTACCTTTCATCGCCCCAGATAACATTGACTTGCAAGATGGGAACAACCAAAGCAGCTCCAAGAATCCTAGCGATGACAACGGCATCGACGATTTGGTTCCTTTGTTGACTGATGCCACCCGAAACAACCACCAGAAAGTACTTACTCCTGTCTTTGACAATGGCGTCACTTGCTCTTCGGTACTCGCGGCTGAAATCCAAACACGGCCGGTAACCCATCCCATCAGGCTGCTTCCAAAACTCACCTGATTCCTCATGAGGGGGTTGACCGAGATTAGTAGCAACCACCGAGGAGTCGTGGTTTCGACCAATGGTGTCGACGTTTTGTTGAGTTTGGAGACACGGGTTCGGGTAGGGAGAGAATGGGATCAAAGTGTTAACATTCCAGCCCAACCTCAACATCCCAACAAGGCCGAAGAGGAAGAGAGCGAACAACCAGACCCTCGGCCTTCTACATGAGTACTTGTTGACGGAAAAGAAGCTGCTGGAACTGCTTCTCTTGGGAGAAACCAAGAGAGACTGGAGAGAAGAGGAGGAAAGAGAGTTGATTATCTGAGATGGAACAGAAATGTACGATAGCTGATTGGCGTTGATTATGTTCTTCGATTTTGCCATTAAAGTAAGCAGAAACGGTGTTCGTAATCGAAATGAACACAAGAAGAAGAAGAAGAAGAAGAATGGGCGGCAGGAACGCGTAGGCAATGTCTTAAAAAGGTGAGGTGAGACGTGGGTAGACTGACAATTTATGATTATACATGTCTAATTCTTCTCCCGCTCCTTGTAAACTTTTACAAATTTATATTTAGTCTCTCTATTTCAAATATTATGACTTTACTCACTTTGTGCTTCTGATTTAGTAATTCGTTAATATTACAATGTGGAAGCTCAAATAACCACATAGTTTTTTATTAAAGAATAAAACTAATTAATAACAAAACTTTTAGTGTATAGGATCTACTATTAAGCGCTAAGATATGGGATGATAATAAAGGTATTCTCTTTGTCAATTAAATTTGTTATTTATTTTTTATTTAATATTCTTGAATATATATTTTTATAAAATATAATTATTAATCAAATGTCAATAATTGATGACTTAGATGAGGGTGTTTATTTTTTATTTGTGCAGTAAGTGAGCTGCTGCTGCCTCTGCTTTTCTCTCTCTTTTTCTTGCAAAAAAAAAAAAGACAGCCTGTTTCCTTCTCTTTTCAAGTTTTTAATTTCTCTATTAAGAGTTTCAATTCCTCCTTCTGGGAATCTGGGGTTTCTTTATTTGGGTAAACTACATAAATGGTCCTTTAATTGTAGGGTGATATTTTGTTGATTCTCTCAACTATTAAAATTTATAAAATTATTATTTGATTATTCATATGTTATAAACTCATCATTTATCGTTAAAAAAATTATGGTTGTCTAAATTAGAAAATAATTTTCTAATTGAAATAAAAATTATATTTTAATAATGTCTACTGATATCGTCATTGTTTTCAAACATTGATTCGACGACATAATCTTTTAAGTATTGGCTTGATAATATAATGTAAATGGTGAGTCAATCTATAAGATGAAACTTAAACGATTTTAGGATCAGATTTTTCATATTTTAGTCAATAAGTTAATGTCCAACTCAGACGATAACTAATTTTTTAACGAAAATTGACGAATTTGAAATATATAAATAGTCAAATGACTATTTTTTAATTTTTAATTGCTGAAGAATTTAACAAAATAACATCATATAATTAAGATATTATTTTATAATTTTTAATAGTCGAGAGACTCAATAAAACATCATACTATAGTCGGGATCATTTGTATATATTTTATCTTAATTATTATTAATAATTATTTTTCCGACTTACGAGCAAAGACAAAGGCCGAGACTCGTAATGGCCAGCTGGGAAGCACCACCGAACACGCTGGCAGTTCTGCCACGTCCTATGATTGTGACTTATCTGTACCTGCCATGTGGGCATCTCCTCTTTCTGCGGGCTTTCAAGATGTGGACACCACTTAACTTTTAGACTTTAGTTATGAATTTAGTTTAAGCTTAAAAAACACTTGGTTACTCGGTTTAGTTATCTTCTTAAATTGAACCGCCACAGCAGGTAGAATGGTATAATAACATTTTTAATCCCTTTTAAACTTAATAATTTAACCTTTTTTTTTATCATTAATGATAATTCAATCTCGTTATGTGAAGAGGAATGTTTGAAATCTGAATCATGGGTGAGTTGAAAGTGGAAGTAGCTTAGCTTAGAAGAGATGAGATGAAACTATAAAATAGTTTGACCAGAATAAGCAATAACACAATAAATGAGTAGCATTTGATTTCGGATAAATTGATTAACCGATCAAATTAATTGAACTTTGTTGAGTTCAATTAAAAGTTTTTAAAAATGTTTTTGTTCAATTAACAGTTAAAAAGAATCGGTTAATAAATTTTTTATAATTTTAATTTGATTGATTAATCGAACCGACGGATAAAATACTCCTTTCTGTTGTCCAGGCGGAGGGAATTAGGCGCCAGCTGTTAACATAGCAATCCATGCCTGGCTCTGCTAATCGCTCATTGGTGTGTACATATATCAACTTTCCATTTCAAATTTCAAATACTCAGTCATCGTATCAGAGTTGTCCACTTTCCCCTTTTATTATGCTTGCCTTGTGAATATTTATTATTCGCCCCTTAATTTTAAAATTGGCATAATGGTAAAAATAGCCTCTACTTTTTACCAAAATGATTATTTTGACATATATTTTTTGTTGGAGTATTTTGGCCCTAACGTTTCACTTTGGAGCTCCCTCTATGAATAAATACTATTAGATAACACACTCCAAAATAGGAGCCTTTTTTATCCTAAAATGATTTAAACCCGACCTGAGAACGACATGAATACAAATTAAACCTGATAATATGAAAATTAAACTTACCCTACATCCAACCTGATATGAACTCAAACATGAGATCAACTTGGTAAATAACTGATATAATTCAACTCGAACCGATTCGAAATCGGATTTTATTTGACTTGTAATTGACTCAACTTATTCTTGAGTCGACCTATAAATGATCTGACTTATTATTGAACTGATTTAATATTGACCCAAATTGGTATTCACTTGACTTGTAAATTGTAATTGATGAAGTCTATGATTTGTGTGAGAAGAACGAGGTAATTGAGACTTGGGAGATTATGAATTTATAATATTATAAAGTAACAAAATAAATTTTCACTACTTAAGTCACATGATTAATTATGATCATTAGATTGATAATTTTTTTATATTTATAAATTATAATATATAAATATATTCAGAAATTAAATTAAATTATTAATCTATGATTAATAAATATATTAAAAAATAACATTTCACTATTTAAGATATATGATTAAATCGTAAAAATAATAAGTTTAGTTATTCGCCCAAAAGTAATGCATTCACAAAAATAGAATATAAAATAGATACGAATGGTTTTGTCATGCCACATACAAAGATAAACACTCTAAAAAGGTTTAACTATGCTTTTGGTCCTTGTACTCTTCACACATCTAAAACTTAATTTCTCTATAACTTATTATCTTTGGAGATTTCTATAAATTTAGATTGTTATTATATTTTGAAAACTCTCGTAATCAATTTAAAGTTGTGTGATAATTATGTAAGTAAAAAAGATATTATTATTCTCTTTGTTTTCTTGAAAATAATGTTAAAGAACATTGGAATTAGATTGTCTATAGGTTAGATGGCACGATGATTAAGCCTAATCTGAATTGAATGTGGATAAAGATTTTCAATCCAACCTATATTTTTTTCTTCAATATTACATATTTTTCAAATAAAAATTGATTAATTGGATAGACTGAGATGTCGTTAATGAAGCTTGGGGTGATGATGCTGGAAGACGTTATGTCTCCTGGACGTCTTCTTACGACGACTTTCGATGGCACGGTAATATTCACCCTATTAACAAAAATGAAGTCAAAACCATGGTATGTATATATGCCGAACCACTTCAATTATGTGGTGGTTTTATTATCATTTAAATGATAATTAGGTTGTTGTCTCATCGTTATCATCTCTAATTAACAACTCTTGGTCACCTACTAACAACTCTCAAAATTTTATTCTGATTTCATTGCTGCAAGGCTGTGTTTGTATATAAAATAATTGTTGTACAAGATGCTAAATGGAGTAAAATAAAGAAGGGTTGGCAGCAGCAGGTACAATTAATACATGTATTATATTAATTAGTTGAGCTCAACTACTAATATTGGATATATTGTTAAATTACGTAATTTTAATCCATTAATTGTGACACTCAGGTCCATGAGCCTACTTTCAACCACAAATGTATTATTATTATTATTATTATTGTTATTATTATTATTATTATTATTATTATTATTATTATTATATTATTATTATTATTATTATTGGACCAATATGTGTTTGTATATCAATGATTAATCATCAATAGTAAAACATGTACATATGTAGTGGGTTGACATGTTGTACACTTTTTGATACAAAAAGCATATGCTTGCTTGGGAAAAACACACATTATCCCCTCGTCAATTCTATGTAGGGTTACTTAATTATTATATGAATATCGGATAAATTAATTTTAAGCGTAAAGTATACAAATGACATCTTACTATAAGGCGTTGTTTTATTGATTCCTTTAACTATTAAAAGTTATAAAATAATTTATGAACTATAGGATGTTGTTTCGTTAAGTTAATTGACTATGAAAAGTTACAAAATGACCACTCAATTATACATATCTTCCAAAATCATCATTTTTTGTAAATTGACAATTGTATGAGCTAGATTTTAACATATTGATTGAGATATGATAAAATCGTATTTTAATGATGTCTATTGGCACTGTCGTTACTTTTAAGTGCTCTCTCGACGACACAATATTTCAAGTTCTAGCTCGATGACATAATGTAAACAGAGAGTTGATCTATAAAATATAGCCTGGACGATTTTGAGATCAGATTTTATCATTTTCAATCAATATATTTACGTTCAGCTCAGACAACTGTTTATTTTTTAACGGAAATGATGCTTTTGGAACATATGAATAGTCGAATGATCGTTTTATAACTTTTAATAGTCGGGATACTTAACAAAGCAGCTCCCTATGGTGGGAAGATTATTTTGTAATTTTTAATAGTCAGACTTAACAAAGTAGCACCATATAGTCGAATATCATTTATATATTTTACTCTAATTTTAAATAGAATATTTAAAAAAATAGATATTGGATCGATTGACTTTTTTAAGAAAAAATAAATATAATAATTATTTTTATGTTTAATTTTATCTAATAATTATCGATTAAATTATTCAATAATTTTTTATAATTTTTATTTATAAACTCAATAATATTTTCTAAACTCGTTAAAGGTACTCATTTTGTTCGAACCTTGAACCACATCGATAATCAATGATTAAATTGCATCAATTCGGACATGCACTCTTTCAAAGTTGCAAGCCAAAAACTTTTTCGTTTCTTTTTTCGGCCATCGCTTCGGTATTAATATTTTGCCAAACAAGCAAAGGTTTTATTATTATTATACTAACTATTAATTGATTTAATGAGACGAAACTTTATATTTTTAAATAAGATTAAGATTTTAATTTATATTATTATAAATAAAATAAATTAAATTGAAATGATCGACTTTATAAGAAATATTTTTATATTATTTGATCTAGATTAATTAATTAATTAATTCAATATCAAATAATAATAATTATTATTATTTAGCTAGGATCTCAGCTCGTCCTCATCCAATTAATTACACTTGCTGTGGACTCATACCATCTTTTGTTAGTTGCCCTAAAACAAATTTTATTGGATAAGGGAAAATATGCATGGTGGAGCCACCTTCACAATTTTTGAAAATAAATAAATTCATATAAAATGTTTAAATTTAAAATTAATATAAATTTTAAAATATTTACATTACTTGTGGTATCCCTGAAAAAAAATACACATCATTTATCTTCATCCATCTAAAAACTTTATTTTTTTTATTTAAATACTATAATTTAAGTTTTCACAATCTACCCCTAACTACATAGTGACAATGATACCCAGAAAAAACGATACACGTCATTAATTGAATTAATCAATTGAATGAAAAGTTCGGGCTACTTGTATGTATTGCACAAATAAAATGTTAATTAGGGATGGAGCCGGAATTCTAATTCAAGAGTAAATAACCGTAAATAATGAGGGAGACAAAGTATAATTACCATAGAAAATAAGAGGGACAAAATCAAAATTAGAAACTTTAATTTAGAATTTATCTATAATTTTTTTAATAATAAAAAATAACGGGCAGTGGCCCTCTTGGAACGAAGCATAGCTTCGACCCCGATGTACGCATCAATTAACATATGTCAAGTTGTGTTATTCGAATGCATATGATGATTTTTTTGAATGATTAAATTATTAATTATGGCATAAGACTTAATTTATTGAACTTATCTCATTATTTGAGTTAAAAATATATAATTATGTTTGTAATATTAATTGTCATAATAATGATATATTTGCTTGAAAATCAAGTGAAACAATAGCTTACCATTGTGTATAAAACAAGTTTAATTCCATTGTATAAGTTAGTTATAGTTGTTGTGACGTTGGAGAAAAAACGAAGAGAAGTTGCAAAAAAGAATCTATATTTTTTTCAGAGTTATTTTAACCCTCAATGTTTTATTTAAGTTTTAAAAAAGTTCATATTTTAGAGTATTAATCGTGTTTAACTAATATTTTTTATCTATAGATGGAGTTTTTTTACCTCAAAATGAGACGTTGAGAGTTAAAATGCTCAAAAAATAGAGGCTAAAATATTCATTTTGATAAATATTAGGGGTTATTTTTGGTATTATGCCTATTATGAAAGGAAAAAAATAATTAAAATGATCGAGTCATAATAATTTTTTGTAATATATGATCAAGATTAATCGATCATTAAATCGAATACCAATAATTAGAAAAAAAATACTTAATGTGCCTGTTTTTTATGGAAATTTTCATGAACTGAAATTGTATAAAAAAGGATGTATGGGGACCGAATCCCATGTGACAACTGAAAAGTAACGTTAACTGTGACAAAACCAGTAGACGTACCGGCAATCAGTTGATTAGGTTGCAAGAATAGGTGAGAATAATTAGAAAAAAAATACTTAATGTGCCTGTTTTTTATGGAAATTTTCATGAACTGAAATTGTATAAAAAAGGATGTATGGGGACCGAATCCCATGTGACAACTGAAAAGTAACGTTAACTGTGACAAAACCAGTAGACGTACCGGCAATCAGTTGATTAGGTTGCAAGAATAGGTGAGATAAACTAACATTAAGTAACAGGGACAACAAAACACCAAGATCTCAGTCGTAGAAGTAAATGATATGTTGTGGAGCAGAATCCCAAATGGTGTTGGCGGCCATTGTGGAGACATAAAGGGTCCTCGAATAAAACCGCACATGACATGGCATTCTTGTAATAATGGATTGTGAAAGGATAAGATTATAGAGCGTAAAGAGTGCAATGTTTGTGAAAGGATAAGATGAATAGAGTAAAGAGTGCAATGTTTTTTTAATAGTTTTGGATGATTATAAGATAATATATGTTTATAATTTTCTTAATTAATTGATAATGTACATGTATCTAATAGATATAACTGTTCGAACTCAGAATCTCTAAAAATAATAACATTTCTTTAAGAAAAATATCAAAAGTAGCCTCCTACATTCACCAAAATGATCATTTTGACCATATCTTTTAATATTTTAGCTCTCAACGTTTCACTTTGGGCTAAAAACTCTCTCAATAGATGAAAACATTAGTTAGCACACGATTAACACTCTAAAATATGAGTATTTTTTAACATAAGATGATACGTTGAAGCTAAAATGCTTCAAAAAAAAAAGAATAAATGATAAAGTGATTATTTTATTAAATATTAAAGACATTTTTGTCCTAAAATGAAACATTATGGTCAAAATATTTCAAAAAATATAATAAATAACCAAATAATTATTTTAATAAATATTGAAGGTTAATATTCACATTATACCTTTTTTTAAACACACGCTATTTAATAAGTTTAGAAAAAAATACAATGTTAATGGTAAAGATGAGTTTGGATAAATAGGAAACAAACCCAAGAATAGTATGTTTCATTCATGTGAGCCTTGTCTCTCCTCCCATGTGCATGAGCTTTTATGTCACATCATATTTGTTTGAATGTTTACTCTATCCAAACAATTCTCCATGTTTGTAAAAATTATATTAGATCGATCAGGTTAATCAATTGAACCAAAAATTAATTGAATTAATAATTCCATCATATAAATTGAATCGATAGATCGTTAATAAAATATTAAAAATAAGAAATAAAAATATTTTTATATAATTAAACCTTTCATTAAACTGATTAAATCCGAGTCAAATATCAAACTAATTAAATATCTGATTTGATTTTTTTTTCTAAATATGCAATTCACTCCAATTTAATTGAAGATTATTATTTCATACAATGACAACAACAATGAAAAATACTTCATAAATGAGGTTGTAATGTTATCACATGCCTTATTTAGGGTTGAAGAGGTGAAGTTATAGGTTTTAAAGTTTTGAGTTTAGGGTCCTTAACATGACATATGACAACATAATAATTTCGTTTAGTGTTTTTTATAGTCACGATAATAACCTTTAAATTAAATTAAGCAAGGCTTCTTCCATCCACTAAAAATCATTTAATGACTTTATGACCAAAGTTTTAACTTTGTTTTTTTATTATTTAATTTATTTTGATGAAAAATATACTCTTTAAAAATAATATTATAAATATTTTATAATTTTAGATTAATTTAAATATTATTATAATATGAAAAATAATATAAACATGTATATATTTTTTTATGGTTAGAGAAAATCGATAAACTGAAACCAATTCATTACCATAAAATTATAATAATAAATTGTATAGCTCGTACAATTCAACTCAACTCGATTTTTTAAACATAAAGTTGAAGTATAAAATACAACTCGTCAACTCGAACAACTCAAAAATTTTTTTACTAGACTCAATTCACCGGTAGCTAGAATGTTTTATTCTCATTTTATATTATACTACTAGTTAATCATCACTTCTAATAATAGTTTAATGGTTCATTATAATCTTTCCTCAGTTGAAAGACCACCTCCATATCTGATGAAATAACTTATAGCTCTGAATTTAGATTGTGACATATATATTCCATAAAATTCTTGATTTAAAGATTTATTGATTAAAAACTAAAACTTCTAACTCTGAATTTGAAATGTGACAATATAGATTCACATAAAATTATTAAATTATAAGTAATATAGAACAACACTAAAAGTTATGACGACAAAGAACAATTAACCTGAAAATCTAAAGTTTGATCTGAACTAAAACCGAACCGAATTGACTAAAAAAACCTAATGGTTGACCCGAATTGAAACCAACCGATTCGATATTGACCCGACTCAAAGCCAACCGATCCGATATTGACCCACCCGAAAACCAACCGATCCGACATTGACCCGACCCGAACTGAATTGTCATATGCCCGAACTAAATCCAAATCATATCCGATCCGACCCAAACCGAATCTAAACCGAGGTAGTTAGACCCCGAAATGACTCATTCCGAATGACCGATTGCCAACTCTAGCTAGCAGGGTCTCTTCGGGTTTGGATTATCTTAGTTTAATGCTCAGAAAAGTAGCTACTCGTGGTCCACACTCAAATCAATACCCATTAATTATTTTCTATCCCACACCGAATTGCTCGTTTTGGGTTTGAAGTGCAGGCTACTGATGGCAAAAACAGTCACTAACTTCTTTTATATAGAATGGAGACATTCAGTTGTTGCATGCATGATGTTGATACTAACCTAGATCTTTATACATAAGCTGAAATCTGGTAAATGATATGTTCTTTTAATAAAGAAATTCTTTGAAACTATACTGTACTACTGTCTATTGTTGGATTTTAGATGTTCACATGAACATAATTTAGATGGTTCCCAATACTACTAATCAAAAGAGCAACTGATTCTAAGCCCTTTCTGAAGGATAACACAAAATCATTGGGATAACAAACACCAAGCATATCAATACTCAAAATGGTTGCATGAATCCAAGACCCCTTTAATATCAAACCAAAATTGTATACTCCACCTTCCTCTCAAACAGATAATAGAGTTCTTTTCTGCAGGAATGAAATATTATATCAGCTATTGAACTTACAAGATATCCAAGCATTTGTCCTGATCTTTGAGCGTTTCCAGAGAGTCGAGTAATGTTCAGTGTGAAAGAAATTGCATGCTTGTATGCCAGAGTTGTGGAGTTGTTCCATAAATATGACAGAAGCTGGAGCAGATTGTAGACGAAAATTATGACCAGTAGCAAGAAACAACTCCTAATAAATTCTTACTATAGTCATGCTCCTCAGCTTCCTGGGAAAACTGACAGTGAACTAATCTACAATCTCCCCTTCCTCCAATTCCTCGGCAAAGAAACCCCCCCTAGAATCCAAAAGGTCTCTTCTATCATCTGTTTCTGATTGCTTAGCGAACTCACCTTCTAAATCAAGAAAGTCATCTGGATTAATTTCGGCAATGAGATCTGAATATGCATCAAGTAACCCTTGATCAAAATGAAACTCCATGTCTTTGAAAAATCCAGAGTCCTTAGCCAGGGTGCTGGAATGCACCCTGTTCCCTGCCTCAGTTCTCGTCAAGGATGACACTGAGTTACCGAATGCTTTCTCAGACTTGTTTTGAGGAGGGATTTGATGCACATGCTTCATAAGATCAAAGACCTGAGAGTCTAAAGAACTACCATTCTCTTTTATTTCCTCCTCCCTGAAGGTAACACCTTTTTGGATTTCATTATCAGCAATGTTAGAATCCTTGCTCTCTCTCCTATGATTGACAGGAAGGTTCTTCTTGATAATTTCAAAATCATAGCGATCCGAAGGAAGATACACATGAATTACGGGATACTCTAGAACAACCATATCAGCTAATTGTTGCCGTATTGGGGCCTTTATGTCTAACTCCCGAAAAGGTGACATCCCCTACAACAAAATGAGATAATCATCAATAGGATGGATACAATATTTTCAGCAGAGGATAACGTGAAAGGCAAACATCAATACTATAATCTATAATTCAAGGTAAAAGAAACAGACAATCTGACTGTTAAGGGTTGAGTGATAACACCAGTTCAATTGACTTCAATCCAGGGTGTGTGCATTAAACATAATCCAGATAACACAACTTCAAGAATCTAAGGGGGTAAATACTTCAGTGAATTGCACATATCCATAGGATTGCTGAGTTTAATTCCAATTTTAACATGCACCAAATATTAGACCATGTAAATATGGCAAAATCAAGCAAACAAGCAACATGAGTGTGTGGAGGTTGCCGAATATATAATTCAAAAGAAGGAAAAGAATAAAACCGAGAAGCCAAAATGACCTTAGGGTATTTTCGAATAAAAAACTTAAGGCAGTCGAGCTGCACTTCGCAGAACTGCCTTAGAGGATGATTCCAGGGGCTAGGTTGGAGATGGTTTTCGATTAATGAGCAGAGGCTTGTATCTTCATGTACACTGGCAAAAAGAGAAGAAAAAAACAATGCATCAGTTGTCCAAGAATCTTAAGCAGACACCTAAATATACGTGAAGAGATGGGGAAAGCTTTGACAAAATAGTATTGTCAAGGCCATCAGGTGTTAAACGGAAGCTCACCCATGGTCAAGTAGAACAACATCTGTAGAGTGAAACCGCCATTCAATAGTCCATGAAATGCACTTCTTCCTATAAAGGCAGAGCAAAGATATCACCATACATGATTTGATTTTTTTAATAGTCCAAACTCTAAAGTGATTATAAAATAGTATATGTTAATAATATTTCCTAATCATTGACAACGCACACACATTGCAAACAAAGGGACAAACCTGTGGTTAAATAGAGTTTGATTAGTTTCCCTCCTAGACATCCCAGAGGGGAGAAACAAGAGCTTAGTTTTGCGAGAAGCAGCAACACTACGGAGAGTCCGAAGGGGATATGGAAGCTTAAAATGAGGATGATAGCTGCTGTTAGTAGTATTACATAGTTTGGACCTTATTCTTTCAGCAGTTTCAGCAACCCTTTTTGTTTCCTCCAGCAGATTATAATCTAAAAAGCAAATTTGGGTTTAGTAAAATCGAATGGAATCATAGCTCAAACAAAAAGAAACGAAGGTGAAACCTGATATGAGAAGATTATCGTCGAATTTAGAGAGAGGGACAAAGGAAGTGATGTTCCTTTTGCCATTGCAGCCAGTGCGTTGCTTGTGAGCGTTAACGCAAGGGAGGCTGCAGGTGCGGAGGCAGCAACCTGGGCACGTGTATTTTGACGCATTCTTTTTGCACTCTTCACAATCCCCATTCCTTGATTCCTCCATTTTCTTAGTTTATGAGTTCAGGGACGGAGCAGTAGGGTTTTGCGCCTGTTAGGGTTTTATTTATCTTTTGAATTACTTCCACAGTTCTGTTCTGCCATATTTATAGGTATGGTTATTTGACTTGTATTTGACAGGTTTTACTTAGGGTAAACCACATCCATGATCAATAATTATTGTTCGATTTTATTTTAACCATTGATCATTTAATTGTGTTAATTAGATCACTTAATTATTCATTTGATAGAAGAGGGAGTTGCTGTTAAAAATAATATAATTATACATTTAGTCCTCAATATTTATACATTCTATTAATTTGATCCCAATGACTACTTATTTTCCTTCAATTTATTTTCTACCTTATTAGGTGGTGACATGTATAATTGGATATTGAATATTATTTGATCTGAAGATTTAGATATCTGAAAATTCATATCACTAAAATTATGATCCATATCCGATCCGAGAAAATCGAATTGAATTTTCAAATCGGATATCCGAATTCGAATAAAAAATTTTGATTTAATAAACATTTCAAATTTAAATTTAATATTTTATAACTTTATACAATATATCCTAGACTTCTTTTATATATTTATCAAAACATACATAAATAATTTTAAAATTAATTGTTTAATGTCTCATTTAAAGACTTGAAAAATAAATAATCTAAAATTTTAAATAATTGAAAAATAAAAATAAAAATCAAGACTGGCTTGATGGCTGGAACGTTGGGGGGCGGGGAGCTGGGGACACGGGGATTGGAGGCTGGGATGCAGAGTGGTTTGAGTAAATTTTTCTAAAGGCCCGTTTTTATTTTTAAATAATCCAAAATTGAAATGTCAATGATCCATATTCCATATGATTATCCATTTTCTCAAATATCCGATCTGAATTATTCTAAATTTAAACAAAATCGGATATCCAAATTTTTAGATAGAATCAATAGATCAAATTGGTCGGATCGAATTTTTTCACACCCCTGTATGCGTATATTTTCCAGACTGACAGCATTATTTTAGTTTAATTAAAAAAATTAAGGATACATGTAGGAGAGGAAGGGAAGTGGTGTTTGTAGACGGCATAGTAGTGAACTCAATACACAGAAAGCAGATACAGAATATCCCTGAAGAAGAGTAAATGAACAAATGTGTCCATTTCATTCATGTTTTCCATATCCAAATCGTCCTAATACGCATTATATTCTCCTGATAACTTTATGCATATGCATGCAGCAAGCAATATGTTCCTATTTGTGTTTTGCAATTCAATACAAAGTTATATTAATAAAAACAATTTGCAAAACATGGGAAAAGTAAGCCCCATTAAAACATTACGTATCTTGCATTACATGCTCCAAGCCAAGCCAACCTAGTAGATTTCATCATCTGGAATATCAGGGGTCAAGAATTTCCTTGGATCTTTACTAATTTCCTCATAGTTTAATCGTGCCTTCACTCTTTCCGAAACTGGTTCCAATGGAATGATGCTATCTATCAATGACTCCATCTATATTCCATACTCAACTGCTTCCATTGGAGACATATACCGATCCCTATCAATATCCTTCAGTACTTGTTCAAATGAACGTCCAGTAAAACTGGAAATTATTCTCGTCACATTGTTCTTGTTATGCATAATTTCCCGTGCTTGGATTTCTACGTCTATAGCTTGTCCACTAGCACCTCCTAGAGGTTGATGAATCATTATTCGTGTGTTTGGCATTGCAAGGCGCTTCCTTTGGTGCCACCACAAGGATAATAGAAGCTGTTGATGCTGCAATGCCAATTGCAACCGTGGAAACATCAGCCCGTACAAGCTGCACTACATCATATATAGCCATTGTAGCACTGACACAAATAGCAGATACAGAAAATCAGTAAAAGGAAAGGATAGACGAGCATGATACAATCAGAAATCAAATAGGAGGATGACAAAATGTTCTAGTTTAAACATAGAAAGAAAGTTTCTAGTATTTGGTAGGCCACCAATGAAGGAAAATAAAAAAGTTCAAAGAAAAAAAAAAAAGGAGAGTATATTACCCCTACTTGGATTGCACAAAGATAAAATCAAAGAAAGGTTGTACAAGCAGTCTTATTTAGTTGAGTGGAAAGGGAAGGAAATGGAAATTTATCAAGTTCACTAGGAAATTATAGCGTGCATATATTTCCCAAAGTGATTATGTAAGTACATTCAAAACATTATGAGGAACCGTTCCCCATGTAAATCTCTGAATTCCTTTCCCAGCGAGCAAAATGTTTCCCTTACAAAAGAGGGTACCCTTCACCTCAAGCCTCAACGGAAACATAATACGCAAAAATAAAAATATGTTTGTTTTCTAGACTAAATTGATTACCCAAACTGACTACAATTGCAACTGCTCTATACTCCTAAAGTTTCAGGAATATGCACACTTCCAACTGACCCTGCAACGACCTAAGAATACCTAAAGATTGCATAAACCAAGGACTAGGACTGTCTTCCCAAGGAAAGGGTAGGTTAGAAGAAGATGAGGAAATGGTTCAACTGTCTCCTTAGAAAACATCTATTGGGGTATAATTTGCCCTTTCTAAAGAATTGGAGAAATAAAGGGTACTATAAGACTTGTGCTTTGTCATTAGAAGAAGCAAAGAATAAACACACACCCAAATGAACAATAAGATTATGAACTATCACACACGCTAATTTAATGATGAAGCAGACCTCTTTATGCTTGAAGAAGTAATAAAAATTTCCATCCACGACTTGATGCTACAAACCAAGAGTTGTAATTTGGCTTGCTGGACTTTTATATCATAGTCTCAGTAGTGATTCAATATCCATTTTAGGCTACTCAAGTTATTTTAGTAATTAGACTTACCAGCTTACCAAGCACTAAGGTAAGGAAGCGGTCTGTAAGTACTGTATAGATGCTACTCTATTAATTGGGGTTAACAAACAAGATAAATCTTCAAATCATTGCTATCAGGCTCCTTCAATAAGAAATATCAGAAAAAAGTTGACAATCCATATCCAAGGAGAATACCACCCCCATCAAGTGAAATTTGCATATCGTTTCAAAGATTCTATACACTGTTGTGATATAGTTGAAGAACAAATAAAAAGGTCATTCTTCAGTTTGGTAAGGGCTTATTAAAATCATGAATTGTCAGCTCAAGAATTTTATAATGAACAAGACCATGGCATTCAAAGAAGAATAAGTTTCATTTATGACCCGCCTCTTCTTATTAAAGAAAATACCCATTGACAAAATCTGATATGTATTTCACAGGCATCTATTCAAATGCTCTTTCTTTCTTCCCAGTCAGAAAAAGGGAATAGAGCAAAAATTGTACCAACAACGCGTTCTTCTCAGTATCTCAAAAGAGAACAATTGAAAAACTGAATAATCGGATACAGGCCTAGGGTTACAGGGCAGAAAAAACAATATATACAAAAGGCGTGAAAAAGGGTATACCTCAAAGAACCACCAGGAGAATTAATGAAGAGTCTGATGTCTTTAGCAGGGTCCTGAGCGTCTAAAAGCAGCATCTGACTTATAATAGCATCGGCCAAAAAATCATCAATGTTGTTACCAAGGAAAACAATTCGCTCCTTCAGCATCAACCCCATAGCGTCAGACTCAGCCCCTCGGATGGCGGTGGCGGGGATCTGCGGAGATGAGAGTATGACGCTGTTAGAGGTGGCTTTTAGCTTGAGAGATGAAGAAACGGGCGAGGGTTTGAGGCTCAAAAAGGAAGCGTTTTGGTTCGGGAAAGTAATACAGGATTTATGTTTATGTTCGAGTTGAAGAGAGGAGAAAGGAGGGTTTAGAGCAGATGAGAGTGATAGTAAATCCATGGCGATTGTTGCGTGAGCGTCGACAGACTCAGTTCCAGTCCCAGATAAGCAACTCCGACTCAAGCCGCCAGCCCCTTCGCCCTTCGATTTTGATATAATATCATTCCAAATTAGCTTACTCTATCCCAGCATGTAATGGGTTAGGGGAGATAGAATAACAAGATGTCTAATATTAGATTCAGAGTAATTTTTGTGAGAGACTTTTAATTATGAATTGTCTATCATGAGATTTGATCTTACGAACACAAAGTTAAGAACCTTATGTTTTACCAATTGAATTAGACGGGTATTTCTATCCTTTCAAATTATTATCCTATATGATTTTTTAGGGTAAAGTATTCATATAATCATTAAACTATAATATCACATCTATTTTGATTATCAAATTAATTTTTCTTTCTAATCGGATCATTCAACTATTTAATTACTATCAAGTCGTCCACCATTAAAAAAATTGGCATAACTGACGTGGCTTTTCCTACTCTCTTTTTCTCGTGTTGGAGATAAATATTGGCGTATCATTTACCACACAAGTAAATAAATTTTTTTGATAAAGCTAAATTTAATAATATGTAAGGTCCTTAAACTTTTTCAAAACAAGTCAATCTGGTCCACGGTCCACGAACTTGAGAAAAAAAGTTAATATGACTATTTGATCAATAATTTTCATTGATTGTTACAAAGTTAAAATGGTAATTCATGATGTTGACATGATGGTCAATAATACTGACATGACGATCTACATTGACTAGTGACGTGACAAATAAGTTAAATTAATTTTTTTATTGAGTTCGAAGGTCGATTTGATTTTCTTGAAAGTTTAAGGTCTAAATTGATTTTTTAAAATAAAAATAATTTAAATTTATAATATAAAATATTAAAAATAAATTTAAAATAAAATGATAAATTGAAAAACAATAAATATTAAAAATATTAAATAAACATATATTATCCTATATTATCCAAATAGTTCTAGTAGCTTTCACATAACCTCCGCATATATAAGGAATAAAATTTTCAAACAACAAAATTTATTAATATAAAATTATTCTGTATAAAAATTGAAATTCTATTTTAAAAATATATAATTCATTTTTCAAAAATTTTTTGTTTCTAATAAACGTGCCCTTAATTAATTTACAATTTTCAAACAAATATTTCATAAACAAACATTTCATTTCCCAAAACAAATTACTGAACATATCAAAATCAAATTTTTATTGATTTGTCAATTAGAATATCAGCATATTCTGCTATATTTTCTTGGGTAAACTATATTGGAATTCACTAAATTATGTTAAATTGTTTTTTAGTTATAATTTTTTAAATATTATAAAATAGCCATTAAAATTTTCAAACGATTATAAAATAATCAATAAATATCAAATTTTGTAATAGTTTGATAAATTTAAATATCATTTTGTAGCATTTGAAAGTTTGATAGTAAAAAAAATCATCTTGACATAGTTTAGTGACCTACAATGCACTTTACCATATTATATAATTCTGTGTTGTGATCGTATATAATGAAATTTATCAAAGGATTAATATACACTTTGGTACATGAATTTGGTTTCAGAATTTAATTTAACATATGAATTTGATTTTGCAGTTTAAATTAGTACTTCAATTTGATTTCTTAATTGAAATTGGTTAAAATTCCTAAATACCAAATTGAATAAAAAAAAGTTAATTTAAAGTAGCAACATGCACCAACAAGCCAAGTTCAGGTATCCAATTGAAACAAAAATAGTTTTGGTACCAAATTGAAATTGGACAAAAAAGAAAAGAAACTATATACCAAATTGAACCTTGGAAGATAAATTAGGAATAAAATATATATTTACCCATTATCAAGAGAACCAAAATTGGCAAATGACATATGATAATGAGTTAGGTTTAGATCAGGGCGTAGCACATCCATTTTACGATACCTCTCCCCTTTCCTGTCTGATTTAGGGTTTCTCCTAAATATCAATACTCCCTTCCCTTAATCGATCGATGATTTCTGCAATTCCTCTGTTTTTTCTGTAAATTTGAAATCAATTTCATCAATTATGTTTGTAGCGTCTTCTCCGGTTACTACTTGCATCCAAAACCTGCGTGTGTTCGGTCCTGGTTTGAATCCCTTTGCTCCTTATTGCATCGCTAATCATTCCCCTGCTTCTCGCTAATTTCTTCCCACCCCTCTCTTTTCCTTCTCTATCATGTAATTCCTCCCCACACTCTCTCCTTCTAGTTATCGTCTTCAGCTTTCGGGGAATTAGTTACTTTTTCAAGAAAAAAAAGAGATCTAACCCTTTGTGAAATTTCATTTTTTCCAACAGTATCAAGTATTTCTTCGCCTAATCAATCAATCGATCTGGTCTGTGATTCTCTTTATTTACTTGGTTTTACAAGAAAAAACATATACATCTGCAACGATATTGGTTGGCTTTTGTTATCGAGTCGAAGAATATGACCCAAGGGCGGTCTTTGCGGAGAAGTTTGTCAAGAAGGCGCTCGTTTAAGTGTGGGGTTGATAGGGATGATAGAGGTTGGACGTTGCTCCACATCGGAGCCCGAAAAGGTGACCTCGATAAGGTATATTTCTTTCTTTGCACCTTATTCTTCTCCTTGACCGTTATACAGCTCTTTTTTTATGCTTTCACGATAATTGTTGCATTGAGATGGATTTATGAGTTATTGAACTTTTATGAGATGGCTTTTTAGTAACAATACTCGAAATCACTTGTCAAACTTTACATAAAAGAAAATTATTTTAGGACTAAGACTTCTATTTATGCCAATAGTAGGGTAGACATTTGTTCTTTGATTTATTGCTCATCATTCTTGCTTTTATAGATATCCCTTTTCCTGGATTTTATATACTGTGATGAATGATTTCCTGTGATTATTTGTTTTCGATTCCCATGGGTGCCTTCCAATTTTCTTTATTATGTGATAAGGGTCCATTCGGGTCAGGTTATTTTGTTAGTAGGGTAGCTGATTTTTTCTTTAGGTCCATGCTCCAATGGAGCCGAACATGTTAATCTTGCATCATCTGGCTCAAACAGAAATTTTTTAATCAAATGATTAAGATTCATAATCACTTTCTTATGTTGCAGCTTGGCTAATAGATTTCCAAAATTTTCTTCATACCATATGGAACCTCTATGTTATAAACACATATATGAACGGTTCCATATGCAAGACCCAATTCCTGTTGAGCTTGTCGTCACTGGTATTTTTTGTATATTATTTTTTCTTCTTGCAAAAGATTCGCTGCAATAATTCCCTTTGTCCATAGAAATGGAATGCCAACTCTAAGGTTCCTTGGAACAGGTCAAACAACTTGTCAATGAAGGGATGGATGTAAATGTGGTTGCATGGGGCCCCAAATCCCAAGGTATCACCCCACTCCATCTTGCGGCTGAGGGTGGCCACCTTGAAGTTATGGGTGAGCTGCTTGAACGCGGTGCTAATATTGATGCAAGAACTAAGGGTGCCTGTGGTTGTAAGTTTCTTGTTCTCATGTTTTCCTATTCTAAGTATAGTGTACTATGTATCAAAAGTAAAAAATTTTGTTGCTGATAACTTGTGACCTGGTAAGTACATTAATTCAAAAACTGCAAGTTAATCTGGGCCATGTTAACCATCTAATTTCCACATTGAAACTTTGCTAATTTGCATATATTTCACAACTTTAATCAGCTGCATTTCTTCTTCAAAGACTTGTCAATTTAAGCTTACATGCTCATCAAACAGACGAACACTATGGGCCAATAGAACTTTATGTTGTAATAATTAGTTGCAGTCCAAATCCAAATCCCCCCTCCCCACTAACCCCTGTGCATACACACAAAAGAAAATCCCAATACCGTGTTATTTTAAGGCAAAATTTTGGACACCACGAGGCCCAAATCAACTCGTTATAAAATGTGATCCATTTTCTGCTAAAAATGCTTGAAGGAATTTCAAACATCTAGAGCACATTAGATTTTTTAATGTTTTTGTTCCTAATTGTCAAATCAATTTGTACATATTGAAGACATGTTAATTCATGATGATGTTTATAGTGTATTTTGGTCTGCATAATTGCAGTGTGCGCAGAGTATTGATGGCTTCAGGGGCAACATGAGATTGTTGAATGAATTTTTCGGACTTAATATTACAAAAATTGTGAAAATAAGGATCAGTGTAAAAGCATGCAACTAGAAGTAAGAAAGGTTACTGATTTGATTACCCATTGCTTTTGTTGGGAATCTCAGGGACACCACTTCATGCAGCGGCTAAAGAAAGAAAGAAAGAAGCAGTGATGTTCCTGGTAGAGAATGGGGCATTTCTGCCAGATGACATTAATGATTGCAGATTTAATCCGCCGCTGCATTACTGCCATGGCCTTGAATGGGCCTATGAGGAGATGAAGCGACTTCAAAGAGATAGCTCTTCGGCCCGGGAGACATCATATAGCTCTGAAAGTTGATGCTCCTATGTTTGGAGTTTTAAGAAGTATTGGCTTATTAATAGATGTTGGATGTGTGTTTGCTATCTGGTTTGGTTTTAAACACTTTCATTTGCATATGAATATGATGGCATGATGCCAACCAATGGACTAGTGCATAAGGTTGATGTTTGAACGTCAAACTTTTACTACTGCAAGAACTTGAGCATCTTGTTTTCCTTCTTTTGTCTATGCTCTAACGTACCTTCAGTTCTGTCGATGCCTAACGGTAATAGGGAAATTCGAAGTTTGGTTTAACTCCAATTAATCTCCTCTCATGAAGAGTGGAAGGGTCATTACTGTCGACTCAAAATTTGAATTTTTCAGCTTGATTAGTAAAATTTTGATTTGAATTTATTTCGAGTTGTAATTTTAAAAACTCAAGTCGAAATTTTTTTAATTTTAAATCGAATTATAAAATATAATTCTAATAACTCAGAATGAGGGAAACTAGCCAGCGGATCAAATGTGCTTGGTAAAATATAGTGTTTTATTAAATTAGTTTAAAAGTAGATGTAAAATACTAATAAAACAAGTTTTCGATATGCATGCTAGTTTCGAAATTAGTGATTGCAAAATATTAGGGAAAATATATAAAAATCCTACATCCAGAGTAAGTGAAACTTGATATGAGCTCCATCTATTTTGATTCGAGGAATTTGACATAAAAAATTTAGCTGACCCTATTTACATGTGTAATGGGATGAGGGGAGGTAGGATAGTAGGTTGTCTCCAACGCCAGGTTGGGAGCAGCTTCCGTGGAAGACCTCCGGCAGTCAAAATTATGAATTGCTCACCGTGGGACTCGATCCCACAACCACAAAGTTAAGAGCTCTGCGCTCTACCAATTGAAGTTTATTTACGAATATAGTTGATAAAATTACGAATCACACATTATTAAAAAAAAGGTACTTTGTACAATTAAGTACAAATTCCATATTTCTCTGATTGAGAATATATAATCTAGAATAATATGAATTGATATGAATTCGATACCACATTCTGATATATTAGGGTGGTTTATCATATAATATATAGTAAATTATCTGTTTAGTCAGTCATTTATTTTTTATTTCTCTTTTGATACCATATTTCTCTTTGTACAATTTTATTGCAGCTGATATTTTCACTGATTTTTATGTGTATCAGAATGCTTCAGAATGTTAGTATTGTTGAACATTGTATAAATATTTCTTCAAATTTTAAGTATTGTTGATTCTTCTTACTTGAAAAGTGATGTTGGCGATTCTATAAATATTTCTTTATTTGCCTTTGGTTCTGATGCCAAACGATAGTTTGACCTCTAAAATAATTGTTCCTTTGTTGGATTATGAATTATGGATGGATTGGAAGGGATTTAACTAGGATTACTGTTTCCATGCGATGGGAATAATTGGTTTCATTTTTGTTCTTTGTTCTTGTATATATATACATAGAAGTGGATTATCCTCAATTTAAAAGCTTTAATCTCGGTTGATCCAACGATCAAAGAAATGTGCGAAACTTAAAAGTTTTACACCGTGTAAGTGGATCCTACCTACATATATAGAGAGAGGGGGGGAGAGAGAGAGATGCTTTAGTTGTATATAAATTGATTATGGTTTGGTGGTATTGGTACATAAATTGTAGAGAAATAGGCTTGTTTAATTTCATCAAGTATCAACCCATAAAGAATAATTTCTGACAGTTGGGCAAGGCCAAGGGGGAAAGTGAACATTGGACCTTCCCTCAATTTGGATGGGTACAACCAGTATAAGATTAAAAGGATCTTTTCCCAATATTTGATCCATCTTGGATGCTCTTGAATTAAATCTACTTATCCTTCATATAAAGAGCTGAAGCAATCTTTCAAAAAAGAAAAAGAGCTGAAGCAAATTATCAACCTTTCACTTGCTTTTCATTGCATAATGCAGTTAATTTTGTGGTACCTTTTTTTCGGCATAAGTGGAGTGGACATATTTCTTACTTTTTCTTGAAAGTCACTAATGTTCTATTTGGTTTTGGTTATATTACTTTGAGAAACTTCTTATTTAAGTTGTATATATTTTTAAGAAATGGCATGGTTGTATTCAACTAGTGTGCATGTAAATATGAAGTACCTTATGGTTTTAAAGGTTCTTTTGATTTCTTATTGAAGAATTTATTTTGGAATTACCTGTATTCTTTATTTTATAATTCTGTAATCTGCTGTCTTTTGCAGATACTTGCAGGGTTATTACTTAAGTGGGTTAATTCCAAATGAATTGGGAAACCTTTCTTCACTTCGGAATCTGTAAGTTGTTTCTCTTGCTAATAAAAGTGGCCAGAGTGATAAAGAGACTAAGCATTTGGATTACTTAATGATGCTTACTTGAGATTTGAATTTTCAGGGATATCTCTAGCAATTCTCTCAGTGGATCTATCCCTCCCTCAATTGGAAGGCTAGATAAGCTCATTACATTGTTAGTTTTTAAATGGAGGCTTTCTACTGAGTTGTTACTTTTAAGAATTTATCAAATAAAAACTCATCTTTGATGATTGTATTGAATTTTCTGAAGCAATGTGTCAAACAATTTTCTGGTCGGGCCTATACCATTGCAAGGTTTCTTCGGCAACTTTATGGCTAGTTCGTAAGTACAAGCTATTTTGGTATACCATGTTCAATAGATCTTTGGTTATTTATATGCTACATCTTCAGAATTATCATGATGGAGGGTTCGAGGATCTGTTACTCTTGTACTCAATTCCTTTATTTGGCACTTTTAATATCTTCATCTTCCGCTGGCTACTTCATCTTGAAAAGTTAAAGAAGATTGCTATACTGTTATCATGCTAAATTAACTGTTTAACTCTCTTTTTTGTAGTTTTGTTGGAAATCGTGATTTATGTGGAAAATAAATCAATGTGGTATGCAAAGATGACAGTGGAGGAGCTACAACATATTCTGGATCACCTACATCTGGTAAGCTGCACGGGCCAGAAATCTACAACTCTGACTGTTTGGTGCACATTTCAGTTTTAATTATGAATGTAAAAAGATCAATTTGTAACGAGTCTGTTACCTTTATTCTTGGATTTATTATATTTTTGGGAGGCAACTAACTCTGGTTTGTATTTCACCTTTTTCTTTTGGATATCTCAAAATCAAGTTGCAAAAAGGAAATACTCTGGAAAACTTCTCATTAGTGCATCAGCAACTGTAGGTGCACTGCTTTTGGTGGCACTTATGTTTTTGGGGTTGTTTCCTATACAAGAAGCTCGGTAAAAATGAGAGCAGAACTCTTGACATGGATGTTAGTGGAGGTTTGCTTCCAACTGATCTTCAAATTTGGAAAATCCAGCTGTTTCCTATTTTCATCTTTACCGTCTAAGATTCAAAGTCTTTTTAATGTGGTTTTGTTGCCATTGTTATGTTTCATGGAGACTTGCCATACTCTTCGAAAGACATCATTAAGAAATTGGAAACTTTTGAGCGAGGAAGATATTATAGGTATTGGGGGTTTGGCACAGTGTACAAGCTTGCAATGGATGATGGCAACAAAACGAATTGTGAAGATGAATGAGGGATTTGATCGGTTTTTTGAAAGAGAACTTGAAATTCTTGGAAGCATAAAACACCGGTACCTTGTAAATTTGCGAGGATATTGTAATTCTCCTACATCAAGGCTGTTACTCTATGATTACCTTGCTGGTGGTAGTCTTGATGAAGCACTTCATGGTGAGGCTCCCTTAACCATTTTTATTTGAAAGCAATAGTCTTGCATAAACTTGATATTTTTGTGGATTATACATATACATGTATGTATATGCATATGTATCACGTCTTAATTTGCTTATGCAAGCAACTTGTTTGCACCTTGCGCCTCACGCAGTATGTGTTTTAGTGCCTATAGTGCCCCTTGGACTCTAAACAACATTAAGTTTGAACGTAAATACTTCTTCTTTTTAACCATTAGTTAGGATTTCCTTCATTATCTTGGGTCCATTTCTATTCATTTAATTTGTTGAATGGATTGATTTCTTTATTTGGGAAGGTAACACTGTTTTATGATTCGTTTAACAGAAAGGTCTGAGCAGTTAGACTGGGAGGCACGTTTGAACATTATTATGGGAGCAGCAAAAGGCATGGCCTATCTACACCATGATTGTTCTTCAAGGATCATACATCGCAACATCAAGTCCAGCAACATTCTACTTGATAGCAACTTGGATGCTCGGGTATCAGACTTTGGACTTGCCAAGCTGTTAGAGGATGAAGAATCTCATATTACAGCCATTGTTGCAGTAACTTTTGGTTATTTGGCTCCAGGTTTGTAGTTGCAATATCGGCTTACTGTCTATGATTGTGGAGTCTGTTGCTTTGAAAAAGACTAAATATTTGGCAGAAGACAGAGAACTGATCCCATAGGAAAAATTCCTATTTTGTGTTGCTTTTGATGGCTTATTTGATACGTAACAACCATGTTTCATGGTGCTTTTTATTAATATTTTATTTGGATCCTGCATACTATTGAAGTTAATATTGAGCTGAACTTTTATGCACGCCTCTTGTTATTAATATTTTATTGGACCAAAATATGCAAAGTATTTAGAACTTATTTTTTTCATCAACTTTTTTACCTTTTGTAGATAAAAAAAATAAAAAAATGATCCAAAAAAGTTTGATGCTCTAGGACCTTGATGTTCACATTTCCTAACATTGCATAAACAGATTATGACGTTTAAATTCGTGTCTTGCTGTCTCAAGAAAATAAATACTGCAGTCTTAGCTTATAATGTAACCAAAGGAAAGATTCCAGGCAAGCAAATTTGGACAAGTATTTATTTATTTAATTTCTGCAAAGATGCAATTAGGTTCTTGTTAAGTGGTTGAGTCATTGTTATGTAATGCAAGGTTTCTAGATTCAGTTTATCTGAAATCTGTTTACGCTTCCTTCAACAGAGTATATGACAAGTGGGAGAGCAACTGAAAAGATGGATGTCTATAGTTTTGGGGTCTTGGCGCTTGAAGTCACAAGTGGCAAGAGACCTACTGATGCATCCTTCATTGAGAAGGGTCTCAACATCGTTGGCTGGGTATGTTTCCTCTTTGTTGACATTTTGTCAAATTGGCTTAATCTCTCCTTCATTAATGTTCTGTTTAAGCCATTAAATCACATGCTGGAGAAGTCTTAAGCATTTGACAGTATATATGTGTGTGTGTGTTTACATATATTTACGTGGGTGTGATGATCTGACCGGCATGTCCTATTTTTTGCAGTTAAATTTCCTAGTTACGGAGAATAGGGAACAAGAGATCGTAGATCCAAATTGTGAGGGGGTGCAGGCAGAAAGCCTTGATGCTTTACTCTCAGTAGCCATCCAGTGTGTGCGTTCAAACCCAGAGGATCGGCCCACCACGCACAGGGTGGTGTAGTTGGTTGAATCAGAGGTTATGACCCCATGACCTAGTGACTTTTATGATTCCAACTCTGATTGAAAGAGAAGATGAGTGTGTATGGTTTCATGTTCTCCTGTTGTCTCGGGAAGTAAACGAGGGGGAGATGTTGAATCTGCAACAATCTCACTCGTGTCGTTAAATTCTTTTATGCAGATGGAAGGTATGGTGTGTATTTGCATTGCATTTTACCCATATTCCATTTGAATCTCAATTTGAGTTGTTGAATAGAATTTGGCAGATGTCATGGGTGAACTTCCCCTTGCCTGCAATTTGCAGTGTGCAAATGCAATGGAATCCGATCCTCGCCTTCTCACCTTGCTGTACGAGTCGGTCGATCATTTAAGTGTTTGTTTTTGTATTATCCCCTTGGGATCTGTTTTCCGTGAAATAAACAAACCCTTGAGTCTTTAAATTTTACATCCCCCTCCCCTGCGCCATATTGAAGTGTATGAATTGACGACGATTATGTAAATTGACAATATTTTGCCTTTTTTTTGGTCTCTCCACTGTGCTTACATTTGACATACAGGACCGTAGTAAGCCATTTGGATTTGTTGTACAACTAAACAGCGGATATTAGAGAAATTGAATTCGGCAAGTGACAATAACTATATTGCCACAAAAAGTGAATCTTACCTCAATATCAGCTTCCTCAAAGTTCTAAATATTGGTAAGGATAGGGTGTTTATCTAGCGAGTCGATCACGAGTTGAGTATTGCTTGACTTGACTTAAAAATTGTTCAGTTCGTGCTCGATTCGATATTTGATAAATTTGATAAAATATTGTTCGACTCGTGCTCATTAAAAACTGGTTGTTGGACTTGATTCATTGCTCGTTAAGCTAATTAAAATTTTTATCTTATTTTTTCTAATATATATATATATATATATAATCTAATAATAATATATAGAGTTTAATATAAATTAATAATTTAACAAAAAATATCAAAATATTGTATGAAGTAGTTTTAAAGTTTAAACTTTAAAATAATAATATATAAATTCACTAAACTAATATATTAGGATTAAAGTAATAATATACAAATACACTAAACTAATTACATCTATTCTTGAAAAAAAAGTCCAATACTTAATCAATCTTGAAAATAATACAATCAACATCCTAAATAATTATAAAATATTTACGAACTGTTTGTGAATTTATTGAGTAGAGTTATATCTTATTTCATTTAACTCGTTAAAATTTCGAGTTGAATTAATTTAAATAAAACGTTAATCGAATTTTGAATAATTCGAGCTCAAGCTGCTCGCGAGAGGAGTCCTAGCTGTTTGTTTCAACTTCAAGTATCGAGGCAGTTGGAATTACCCGCAAAGAGACAAACCTAAGTATATATTTTCTGTTTATTTTTTGGGTTAATGGTATGAATGCCTTGTCTATTTTATTATTATTTTCAATAGAATACATGTATTTTTTTAATTATATAATATGTCTCATGTATTTTGATCCTGTCTTTTAAAATATTTTTTTATAAATAATGTCGTTAACGATCCATTAAAATCCAAAAATATTAGCACGCCCACAAAAAAAAGGGGATAAAAGGTACTAGAAATTAGTAGAATTTGCACCAAAATCATCTATACCAACTCAGTACCACTTCCAACTCCAAAGCTGCTTCCCAAAGCAAACGCAAAAGTGCTACAAGCCCTTGAAAGTTGGACTCAAACAAGCATCTTAACTGCATCGTCTTCTGCACCCTGCTGTTGTATCTCTCTCTCTCTTTTCCAGTGGCAGACCCAAGCCCTCTCTTGCCGATAAAGCATATTATTCAATCAGGTAATTTTCAAAGCCCTAAGCTTAATTTGAAGTTCGACTCTCCATCACTACGTTATATTTTTTTTATTTTTTATTTTTGTTTCCGATCCTACTCTCATCTCAATTTGTCTCATCTAATTTCCTAAAGCCTAAAACAGAAATTGAAAAACCCTAACCTAAATTATCCCTCTCTCGTGCTCGCCGATCACCCACCCTCTCAGCCTCGCAATAACCGTCGATTCGCCTCAGCTACTGATGATATGGTTGAAGTGATTCTGTTGTTGATTATCTCACTTCTCAGGGATTAATTTGTAGCATTTTGAAAGATTCTTTAATGGATACCAATGGGTTTCAGTTCTTATTTATAAATCATCATAAAAAATATTTTAACATTATAAAATCAGTCCTTTTGAAGGTATTTTAGTAAGGTTTCAACTAATTAACCATCCCTGTCATGCTTTTTTTTTTACTCCCTTGTTTCTGTTAAAGTGTTCTTCAAGGGGAAGCTGCAGAAGTATGATAGGTCAGTATAAACTGCATTATATCCTTCACGCAGCCTAGGCATTCAGTGTTTCATTGATTTCATTATTCAGGAAATTGGTGTAAATTTAGGGGGTTGCATTAGAGGTAGGTCTGACCATAAACTTCAGCAAGAAAAAGATCAGGGTCTGACTGTAAACGTAATTGGTTTTGATAAATTTCATTTTTTTTTGTCGGTTTTAAATTATTTTTTGGTGGGTTTATTAGTAACTCGGTTTCCTGGGTTTACGAACAGAGCTGACCGAATTTAAGGTCGGTCGGCCTAATCGGTTTGGTTTCTCCAAATGACTTGGTCGGTTTCATCGGTTTTTGGGTTAATGGAGCTGAACTGACCGTCTGGCCAACTTCACACCCCTATTCAGCGGTGGCGGATGTCACCACTACACTACTATTTGGAACCCTGTAAATAAGTGTTTATGATTTAATTATTAGATAGTTGATTCTTTTATTTTCTTCTTCTAGAAATCTAATTACTTGGCATGATTTGAATGTAAGTACACAACATAACTGTTTCCATATTGTTATTTATTATTATCATGTTCGTTATGAAGTTCTAAACTAAGCAAAGAATGGAAACACAAAAGAGTCAATCTGAGAAACAAGCACCACCTGCTGCTACTGCCCAAGTGATGACTTCATGTAGGAAGAAGAAGAATGAAGAGGCCACCTTCCTTGAAGACTTGAAGGATCACATTGATGAGTTTGTTAATGCATCGATGGATGAGCACAAAACTTGCTTTAAGAAGACCATCCAGAAGGTTCTTTGCTTGATCTTTCACACTATTGTTTCATTGCCCTATGTAAGCTTTCTTATTATGTACACTGTTTATATTGTGTCTTACTAAAAAATAAATAAATTGGGGTCCTTCTCAGATGTTTGGAATGTCGAAAGTTGTAGCAGAAAGGAGTGCTGCATCTAAGGAAGTTGAAAGTGTTCTGCCCCTTCGAACAACGGTATCAAAATAGAGTATCTTCTTACCTTTTTAATAGCGTGACATTTATATATAGAACCACATATTTGCAAGGTGGCAATAAATTATCAAGGACTGTTTATCATTGAGGTGTCAAAATAGAGCATCATCTTGCCTCTTCATACTTGTTTATAAATTGACTTAATTAACAAATTGATACTTAAATTATATCCTTATTCATCACTAATTGACTCATTTTGCTTCTTCCCATTAGGGGTTTCACTACAAATCATGACACAATTAATCGAAACAAGTTCTGAGTGTCATATTCCATGTGTCTTATTATCGGAAAACTGATAGTTAAGTCATATAAAAGTCTCATCGTGTGCCTCTAAATAGTAAATATGATTGAAGAATGCATTATCTTGTTAAAATGTTTTACTTGATTCCCAGTCATCAGTTTGAAGAGAGAATACAATCAGCATTGTTGGTGGTGAAAGCTAGACCCTTTCCTTGTTTCTTTGTAACCTTCAAACCAAAGCAGCAGCACCAGCTAGTTTTTGTGCTTGCAAAATAACAATCAGCCATGGCGTTGGCCTTTTCTCTTCATAAACATTTAGGGTCCAATTGGTTCTAAAAATAGTTTATATTTTTTGTTCTGTTTTTATTTTCAAAAAATAGTTTTTGTTTTAAATTTTTTGAAAATTGGAAAACATATTTGGTTATGAAAACTTGAGTTTAAAAATAAAAAGAGTGAAAATATATTTGATTTCTATTTTTTTTAAAATAGAGATAAACAAATAATTATTAAATAATTAAATTAAAATATAATTATGAAAACTTGAATTAAATTTTTTGTTATAAGTAAGAGCACATAAAAGTGTCATTAAAATAAAAAATATGTTTAGTGATATTTAAGGCCATCAAGCTTTTGGGGTAAAAAACTAATGTAGCCCCTTTATTTTTTTACGCTCAATGAAAAGAAAATCAATCTAACATTTTGACCAACGAAAACAAATGTTGGTTATCACAACAAATATATGATAGTTCACAATGTTTACATGACAATCTAGAATGTTGATGTGACAGTTTACAATGTTGTTGTGATAGTATACGATGGACAATGATGATATAAATGTACATAATTGAATTTTTAACCAAGTTCGAGGTCCTAATTGATTTTTAAAAAAGTTTGAAGACTTGTTTTTTTTAAAAAAATATATATTTAAATTTTAAGTAAGATATATAAATAATTATTAAGATATCCAATACACTAAAAATAAAAATACTACAAAATTAAATTATTAGAAAATTCAAATTAAAGATTCTTTTTTTAAGTCTGAGGATTTCATATATCATTAAGCTAAAAATTGTTGCTAGAAGGATTTAAATCTATATAGGTTAAGTTAGAAATATAAATATTGTGTTTTTCTATTTCTCAAATTTCTAACATAATTTTAATAAAATAATGAAATCATGTTTTTATATTTTTATATATTGATTTATTTTTATTTTTATTTTCATTTTCTAAAAATAATTTTTTTATTTATTTTATAGCTAAACACGATCTTCATTATATAAACGTAAAATGATATACGAGAAAATAGTGTTAATATGATTTCTAAAAAATAAAATAAAATTAAAATTCATATATGACTGTGTACATTAACATAAGTCACGAGTCTAATTTATTTGTTATCAGTTCAACTGCTCTATTATGCTACGTGATAACAAGTCTTTCTCGGGCCCTACTAATCCACGATTCCGTTCAAAAGCGTCGTAAGCATGCTTGGTTCTCAGGAATAAGAGCAGACTAGAAACTAAGCCAAGCAGCGATAAGCAACCCCACAACACAAACGTTAAGAAATAACAATCCCTCCCCATGCATACCACTGAATCTGTTGAAAACATTAGTTTCAGCCCTACCCCAGCGTTGCCATCGTATATTATTGCAGCGAGCACGCCGTAAACCAGTGACCCTATCGGGATATTGGTTATCAATATGTTGTGATTCACACCCACGCTATTCGGTCCAAACAGCTCCGACGTAACAGAAACCGCGGCAGCAAATATGAACCCTGAACTCAACCCGATTAATGCCGTTCCTATACGTAATGCCACTGTTGAATCGTCAAATGCAGCCAGCAGGAAGAATGCTACTGGAGTTGGTAGCAAGGCAATGGTTAGCCACCCAGTTCTTGCAAAGTAAAATTTCCTGCAAGGATAGATGTGTTTAGCTAGGTAGCCATTAATCACAAAAAAATAGACACGATATACATGTTAATAGTTGCTGGTTGGACTATAGAATTTGGGTTGAGCATGTTGAACATCGTCATTCGGAATATTTGCAAGAAGACGATCAAGGTCAAATATGCTCGACTCAAATTCTGTCTCACGAGACACAACTTATTGTACCAAAAAATGCATCAATAATAGTAATTATAATTTAAAATCTAGTGAAAAGTACACAAATGTTCCCTAATTATAAGGTGTTATTTTGTTGAGTCTCTCAACTATTAGAAGTTCTAAAATGGTCATCGACATAAGGCGTTGCTTTGTTGAGTCCATCAATTATTAAAATTTATAAAATGATCACCTGACTATTCATATGTTCCAAACTCGTCTTTTTTCATTAAAAAAATGATGACAATATGAACTAAACGTAAACTGTTAACTGAGATACAATAGTCATTTGAGATTTTAAGATCATATTTTATCATATCACAGTTAGCAGGTTAACATCCGGCTTATACTGCTGTCAATTTTTTAACAAAAAACGACAAGTTTGAAATATATGAATAGTCAGGTGATCATTTTATAACTTTTAATAGTCGGGAGACTCAACAAAGCATTGTTCTATAGTCAATGGACCATCTTGAAACTTTTAATAGTTGAAAGTCTCAACAAAGTAACTTTCTATAATTAGGGATCATTTGTGTACGTTATCCTAAAAATCGAGTACTCGAACTAGTGCTTACGCGCGGACGTAGTCAGGTGCAGCTGAAAGCAAGCGGCCAAAGAAGGAGAATGATGAATAAAGAGTGAGAAGTAAGGTAGTAGTGGAAGTGTGTCCGAGTGATTGTGCAATTTGGCCTAGATTGTTGCTGTACACAAGCCCGATTGTTCCCCCGCAGAAATATGCCATGTAGTAGAGCCAAAAATCCAATCTCCCAACAAGTACTTGAGCCAGGTGCTCTTCCCCTAGCATTACAAGTTGATCTTTTTCCATCATTTTCTCACAACATCTCGTGTTGTCTTGTTCAATGCTCAGTTTTAGGCTGCTCAATTTGTATTCGTATGCCTCGTCCTCATTCAAAGATCCAATCAGTGACAGTGACCCATTCAGATTGTTTAAACTACCCTCACGGCTTAGCAGTCGTTTATGAAGTTCGAGATCATCATCGTCCACAAGAATGAAGCTCGATCCGCTTATGTGGAAGCTAGAGTGAACAGTGTGATGGAACCAACTTCGAGCGTAGACAACACCAGGAACACATAATGGAAAAATCAGCAGAAAAATAGCTCCCCCAAGGAGCAGATGAGCTGTTGTACTTGTACCTGATGTGTTTGAACCGAAAATGAGGAGATAAACACCAGTTAAAACGGCCAGCATGTTCAGTAGTAGAAACATGATGGAGTCACTGCGGACTGCCTCAGGAGGAAGAGGATCCACCGAGGGTTGACGAAGGATAGGGACGAGTGCTGCAATCGAAACTATAAGGGGAACAAGGGAATTCAGGAGAAGATATAGCGAACTGGATGATGCATTAAATGCACCACCGGCAAGGGCGTACAAGGCTGCACTTACACCATTGTAGCTTACTGTGAGGGATAACGCAAGTGCTCGGTTAGCCGGGAAGTTTTTTTATGCAAAGAACAAAGCAAACTGTGTTGAACCAGCATATGCTACATCCTGCTAACAAACACAGAAAGAAAACCTGCCACATACATAAAAACAAAACGATCCAAGTCAATAATTCATACAATACTTGTATACACACACATGTATAGCTATCAGCCAAGGCTACATAATAGATAAAATTGACATCAAGCTTTTATGAAATATTACAAAGTTGATTTTAGATGCTAATTTCCGGTTCACGAAATCCTGTCTTTGCCAGTTGCCAAGAGAATGCAATGTCCTTTGGTTCAATGGGTGAAAGCTTTATTTTGTTTTTTGTTCATAGAATGGTTTTAATTTTTCTTAATAGTCTAGGATGATTATAAGCTAGTATTTGTTCATAATTTTTTTAACCATTGACAACACACACCCTACATCACAGCTGGTCGAACCTGAGACTTCAAGGAAGAACAACACTCCCTTTAACAACCGAAACCAAACACATTAATCTAACTTTTTACATGCATCTCCGTATAATAACTCTAATATGCTATATAAATGAGATTCAATATCGATGAAGGTACTAATTGGTGCTAGACTCAAATCAAACAAGAAAGCGAAAGAGGTAGGTTCATGGGGCTTTTAATGTCGTTGATATGTATGGTAATTCAAATATATATTTGTGAATATTTGATTTGTTTTTTACCTATTCAGATGTTAAAATTATTATATATTATAGATTCAGAGTTAATATAAATATATAATCTCAAATATTTATTATCTGAATCTATATTAATTTTATAAAAATATTATAAATTCAAATATTTGATCTGTTGAGCAGGTTCCTAGAAGAATACCCTGGAAAATGGCCTGAACAGTTGAGTTATGGTTCAAGCCCAGTCACCAAGTGATGAACTGTTCAAACAATTACTCAGGTCCAACCTGCGGTTTCCTCAGCAGAAACAGACAGAAAACTTGAATTATTCAAAAAAATCTTTTCCACAATGTTGATTAACAATAGTTGGAAGGTTTAGCTTTTTTTAGGGGAGGGGGCGGGGTTGTGGCCAGAAAGTGGAAAGTATGCTTTAATTGTTACATTGGGCAGCAGAAAGTCATTGCATGTGGACACCAGAAATTTCTTCCGATAGAAAATTTACAAAAGTTATTTTTCTAATTAACTACTTATGTCTAATATAGTGATTGTTAAAATTCAAACAATGACCTTGTTTAATTAATTTAGCCTCTTATCCTATTAGACCTATTATAGTATTTATTTATAGACTTCTAATCTTTTGACTATAAAAGCTCATATCACTGGTATATGTGGTGCTCAACTTAAGACTCAAGAAATAATAATAAATCTTTTTAATCACTAAAATCTTTTATTCATGTTAGTTGTGTTAGAATTAAGTTAAAACAAAAAGGGACATATTGCTAACATTTTGAACTGGAACACTGTGAACCACACCAAAACAATAGAAGAGCAAAGCAACCATCAATGATCAGACACGTTGCACAGAAGAGTAGGACAATTTAACTAATACAGAAAAACCCAGAAAGAGGTGAAATGCAAACGGCATCAAACCCAAAAGTAGAAGGTGAAATAGAACAGTATTACGTCATTACTTTTTTCCTAGTTAGCTTACTTATTTCTGAAGATGGTAGAAGCTAGAAAGCAAACAAATTAGGTTCTGCAAAAACAAACCCCATGAATCTGAAATTGAATTCAATGGAAAGAATGGGAGCGGGCGTACCAGTATATAAGGCAATGAGATGAGATTAGAAACGACGAGCCATTGGATTCCATAACCAACAAGTCCCATGAAAGCAGCCATGAAGAGCACCGTCCACAAAGGGAAATACATGAGAGCCAACCCAGAAGACCAGCCGAAAATCTTCCCCATATCCGACGCCACCGCCAGATAATTCAACTGCACCTGCGATATGCCCAATACTCTCTTCATCTCCGACGAATACGCAGAGAAATCGAAATTCGTCCCCGTGAATGCTTGAATCCAAATAACTGCCACCAGAATCATCCATTTCCTCGACTGTCCGGCCATGATAAGCAACTCTGTAAACTATTGTTTATTAAGAAGGAAAAGATTTTGGTTGGAAATCAAAATTCTGGACCCAACGGCTTCAGCGACCAATCACTTGTTTATAAGGCTGGCAAAGAAAGAGAGAATTTTTATTATTTTTTTGGAACAACAATTTCATGTTGTTATCTGGGCCTCATCTGAAATTTGATTAGGTAGTCCCTCCCTCCCGTCCCCATGGAATTATTTACCGCATACGAGGTGATGATAGATGTGTTTGTGGCAGGAAACTAGCAAGATACCATGTGATGCCATCGCAAGGTCCAGACCCGATAAGGCCGCCCCGCCCCAACTCACAAGAACCAAAACAAATCAATATAACTCAAATACCACATGACATCTATGGCGACAAAAATTTAGGTGTTACACAAAAAAATTCTTATTAATTTTTTAGGGATTATACAATATTAAAGGTGACACTTGTATTAATTTAAAAAAATTAGAAAAAATTAACACTAAGTAAACAATTTTGTTGTATAAAATTTTTTTTTCTATAAGAATTTATCTGAAATATAGGGATTCTACCTAAAAATTACAATATATATATATAAAAATACTAAAATAATATCATTTGATCAATGTTCCTCATAATTTGAGGGGTTGCCCTGGGTCCGCCTCTGTATGGCGTATTAGGGTTCAAAATAAATATCATTTGGGGATAATAATCAATCATTTATTTTGTTAATAAAACAAAATTCATAATAACATAAAATAATATATTTAAAATGTTAAAGAAATTTTAATAGTCATCCATTAGTCATATAGTCGTTGTATTGTTTAGACTATTATTAAAATTTAAAATTTTAAAATATATACAAACTAAAATTGATCAAATTATAGTATAATGAATGAAACCACAATTTGCACATAATATAGAGACTAACGATAAATTTTTTTCTTTTGACAAATTAGTTTATGGTAACTACAATTTTAATTATTATTGGTGTCAACATTTATCATAATAAAAAGTAAAATTTTAAGTGACAAGCAACTTTATTATCACAACAAATATTAAATAATAGTGATCACTTTATTTTTCATCATTATTATATCATTTCCAGTTAAAAAAATAATTGATGTCAATTTGTATATTCTAACAGTGACAAATTTTTTGTGATAGTGAAATTTTATATAGTTATAGTGAGAACTTAATTGTGAGAAAAAATTAATCATCATTATTATTAGTAAAATAGTTTTGTACAAAATTTATGTCACAAAAACCTAATATTTGTGATAAAATTATGTATAGTCACTAAAAATTTTATTCCTATAGTGAGGTTCCTTTGCTTTTTACGTATGGTAAGTTTTTATTGCAGGTCCTTGTACTATATGCATAAGATCATTCCTTACTACGTGGTGGTGTAAGGTTATGAGAAACCTACACATTTCTATCTGTTGGATGGGAGTAGTTGTCATGTTTTTACAACCTATATTTTTAATGATTTTTAGTGATATTTTTTAATCTTGATGTGTTTTATTACATTTCAAGGAGCACACTAAATTTTTTTAGCTCGACTCATAATTTTTTTCCTTTTAAAATATTATTAGATAGTAGACTTTTGGACCAAACAATCGCTTTTTGCTTTTGTACTTTATTGTAATTCTTCTATATGACATTTTTGTTATATTTTGGGTGATATAAATTTTCACTACTGATTATGTATATTTGTATTACTGATATTTTATATGTGCGATGTATATATAGTCTCTTGTACCCATATACATATATGCATACAGTTTATGGACTCTACTCAATGGATTTTACATTCTATGTTATGTAGTCATTTAATAAATATTTTCAGTTTAATTATATATATTATGTTTAAACCTTCAAAGATTCTTTTGGATAGAGTATATGACCAATGAGATCCGACCATAATATTTGAATCGGATTTAGGAGGTTACACTTAATAATATTAAAGCTTTTATTAAACATTTCATAAATATTATATTTATTTTTAAAAAGATTTCTTACATTGAAATATTTCATGGATAACCCAAAAATTTAACAAATACCTTGTCATTTTATTTTACGAGTTTTAAATGAATTTGAGACTCTGATGCCAATTCTAACTTTAGGTTTAATCCTTTTGTGAAGAGCATTATAAATCTATCAAATGAGTGCTAGTCAAGGTCGTAGACTATTCATGGTCGTGATCGAGCAACTCAACCTTTTGATTCTTTGGATGATCTTTTGCTAGCTCATGATCCTCTCGCACCTCGAGCAGACCCTCCTGCTCTACGAGTGGATCCTTTTGTTTCTCGAGATAATCTAGTTACATCAGATACAAACATGCCTGCTGTTGAGGATGAAGATGCAAAGATAATTGATGATGCCATTAAAAGATATTTTTTTTGCATGTTACAGAGAGCGGCTAGAGTTTTTAGTGGTATGCTTGATGTTACTATATCTAAGACCCTTGTGGATTCTAGGATAGTGACTTTTGAAGGTATCAATATAGGACCTCCGACCGATGTTAAATATTGGTTAGAAGATATCAAGAGGATTGTGAATGAGAATGACCTTCGACTTGAACAAGGACTAAAGTTAGTAATCTCAATGTTGAAGAATGAAGGACATAGATGATGGAAATCAATCTTATACTTTTTTAAGACCGTTGGATGAAGGAAATCAAAAGGTAGGAAATGAGAAAATATTCACTAATAAAAAAAATAAGGATTTAATCTTAGCTTTTGATTTCCCTCATCTAACGGTCCTAAAAAGTGTAAAACTAAGAGTTTTACACTAAGTTTAAGTGAATCATAACCATACATGTGTGTGTGGATTGATGCACGATTTCATGCTAGGGGGCGAACTTCTAAAATTTTAGAAGGGACAAATTTATAAAATTCAAAGGAAAACGAAAATAGATTTTAATAAAAAATACATTAAAAATATTAAAAAATCAAGGGATAATTGCCTCACCCACCCGTATCAACCCCGGAATATTTATATGTTATGTCTATAAAATCCAAGCTCATCATTTGACGTATGTAATTATTATAGTTATTGTCATTATTCGTCATCACGTGGAAAAACAAAATATTATTGAAAAATCCAAACACTAAATTGGGCATTAGTGATGAAAATTTGTTTGTATTAGCAAATGAGCACCCACCAAATCATAGAATTTGGCAGGGTAAAAATTCCATGTGGTAACAATGCTAATGGAGACGAGCATATCGCCGGCAGGCTTAAAAATCCATGTGCTAAATGATGCTGATGGACACAGGCGTATCGCCGACCGTGGTTTTTGCAACTCAGATAGAAACAAGGTGCTCATGGTTTTGGTATCCATGATCTCAATGTATTACTATTATTATTATCATTAATCTCGGATAAGTATAAGGTAGTATATGTTCAAAGTTAATTCTTAATTATTTAACATTAAACGCTTACATCTCTAGCATTCATAGTACTCGAACTTAAAACCTCTAAAAATATCAACAATTCATTTATCACTGAGATCGTTTAGTTCGTGCCACGATCTCTAATGTTCAATAGTGTTGAGAAGTTCAGTTTTATTCACAAATCAAAGGACAAAGAGCAGGGGTGGTAATTTAAATTTAAAAATTTGAATATTTATAGAAATTTGAATTATATATTTTTAGATTCGGTTGATATTTATACTTCGGCGTTAAAATTATTAACTTTTATAAATTTAGACGAATGTGAATAGCCTTTAAAAATTTATTATTTCAATTTAGGGTAATGTACACAATTAATCCCTCAACTATAGGATATTATTTTATTGGTCTCTTGATTTTTCAAAGTTATAAACTGATCCTTTGACTATAGGGCATCGCTTTATTGAATCTCCCGACTATTAAAAATTAAAAAACGGTCACCTGACTATTTATATGTTCAAAACTCGTCCTTTTTCATTTAAAAAAATGGCGACAATATGAGCTGGACGTTAACATGTTGACTGAGATATGTTGAAATCTAATTCTAGAATCTCAAAACGACTACCATATCTCAGTTTGTATGTTAACGTACAGCTCAGAATACTATCATTTTTTTACCGAAAAATGATGAGTTTGAAACATATGATAGTTGGTGGCAATTCGTAACTTTTAATAGTTGATGGACTCAACAAAATAATAGCATATAGTCAGATGATTATTTTGTAACTTTTAATAGTCGCGAGACTCAACAAAACAACACTCTATAATTAAGAGATCATTTATATACTTTTAACTTTCGATTTATATACTTACGTAGATGCAGATTATGTATTTAAATATTAATATTTGACTTTAAATTACAAAATTAAAAATATATTTTTTGCTCATGATATTTAAATCTTAATTTTTTAAATTTTAATAAACTCATATACATGGTATATGACTTAAAATTTTGAATTTAATTTTTTATAAGTTCAACTATTCAACCAATGATACTATTTAATTCAAATTGAAATATTATATTTATTAATTTATAAATAATATAAGATTTTGATATCCGAGCTACTATCATTTTTAAGAAAGATTATGTGACGGCCCATTGGAGTTGGGTGGTGTGATGTAATTGTGAAAAAGCCATAAAGGTGTATTTTAAATGTGAGGGTGAGGGTCATTGTCATGTGTCGGCTAAGGGTATATAGTTTTAAACTGACAAGAGATTTGAATGATCTTTAGAGTAAATAATTAAGATTTGTTCGATCTACTGACTAAGTTTTTGTCTCTTATATCTGGAACAGGGATTTAAATTGCGGTTGTGATCGCGTTTTCGGTCATAACAGGTGTTATTGTGAGTATAGTGTATATATCGAAAGGAACCGCTACTACTATTTCGCGGGTGCTATCGTGATCGCAGATCGTTAGTTAAAACCCTGAGATAAAGGGTATGGGTTCAAAGTCTCGGTATTTATAAATTTTGTTGGTTTGTTGATTGAATATGAAAATAATTTAATTGTTGACGTCAAAATTTAAAAATTATGAAAAAAAATCACACCATGTTATGTTAGTATAATCATTTTTTTTAACAGTAGGTATTTAAATGATATAAAAATAAATGTTAGATATGATTTTTTAAAAAATAAAAATTTAGATATCAAAACGAAATAAAATTACTAATTTAAATACTAAACGTGCAGTT